TTTTGTCGTTCTTCTTGTGAATTGGCTTTATTATGGATTTTTTAAGTTGGTTTGGGAAGGTTCCTTCTTCGAATGATTGATTTATTAATTTGTAGAATGGTAGTGTTAGTTCGTTCGCACATTGTTTAAGTAAGGAGGGAGGGAGCTCATCAACGCCATAACTTTGTTTGTTTTTTAAGTTTTTTATGATGTTATTTACTTCGTAGGGATCTACAGGTTTGAGAAACATAGAATTTTCTATTTGACGTAGTACGGGGAAACCTTTAGGGGTAGGTGTAGTTGTTTTTTCACCAATGGACATAAAAAAGTTGTTAAAAACGTCAGCAACCTGTGAAGGTTCATTGACCAGACTATTGTTTAGGTTTAATTTTATATTGTGTTTTTCGCTGTTAATTGTTTTATTTGTATTTTCATTAATGATCCTCCACATGGTTTTTGTTTTATTTGAGGATTTATTTATTCTATTTATATATTGTAGCTTTTTTGCTGTTGTTACAGATTTTTTTAATATTTTTTCGTATTTTTTGTAGTATTGTAATAATACGGGGTCATTTGATTTTTGTGTAAGGATTTTTAGGAGTCTTTTGTTTTTACAGGATAATTTAATACCTTTTGTTAGCCAGTACTTTTTCTTCTTTGCATTTAATTTAATTTTTTTTAAAGGAATACATGAATTGAGAATGTTTGTTAGAATATTATTAAAAGCGTTATAATTTTCGTTTATGTTGTTAGTTTTTATTAAGATGTCATTCCATTTTATTTTGTTAAGTTCGGATTTAAAAGTTTGTATGTTTTTGACAGTAAATAATCGTTTTCTTGTGTGCCATATTATGTTTTTGTTTTGTTTATTCGATATTGTATGTAAGATGGTGGCATTGTGGTCGGAGAAACCGAATTCTTCAACCGTTGTGTATGTGTTATTGTTTATAAAGTTAGTAAATATTAAGTCTAAACATGTCGAAGAAGTCTGTGTTATGCGTGTAGGAACTTTTATATGTTGGTTAAACTTATATTCTAACATGAGATCTAAGAGTAAATTTGTTCTTAAATTATTTTCCAAAGTATTAATATTAAAATCTCCACCTAATATAACATTACGCTTTGAAAATTTCTTACTTATTAAGGACATAATTTGTTTTAGTTTAGTTATAAATTGCTCTTCTTCCTTTCTATTCCAATAACAACTCAGAATTAACATATTTTCCTTTTTTATCTCTATTGCACAGATTTCTAGACAATACTCAATAGACATATCACAAAAATCACTTATCTCTACATAGTCAATTTGGTCCTGCAGTAGGATGCACACGCCGCCGCCGGTTCGGGAGCTGCGACAGTACGATGCTGCAATTTTGTAGCCATCAAATCGCAGAGTATCCAGTTTTCCTTGTGATAGCCAAGTTTCACTTAAGCACATGACATTGTATATGGGTTTCTCGTCAATAAATGCTTCTAGTAGGTGTTGTTTGTTGTAAATACTTTGGATATTTTGAAATAAAATTTTAAATTCTTGGTCCGTGGTTTCGAAAAATATAATTTTTACGATTTGTATCTTCTCTATTAGTTTCATGCGTATTGTTTTTTGTAGTGGGAGAATGTACGCAGTTGTTTATTGTTTCGTCGTTTCTTTCAGCATTGTTTTGGGTATTTGTTATTTCCTTGTTAACCAATATTCTTTTTCCTTCTATGAACAATTGGTTGTTTCTTATTGTTGCGTGCAGACCGTTTTTACGTGCTTTTAGCATTTCGTCACGTAGTATTTTTCTTTCATTACGGGCGTAATCATTTAAGAATTCAGAAACGTATATTCTAGTTCCTTGAAAGTAATGCCCATTTTCAATTATGTATTTTGCTGTTCTTTTGCTCAGAAGTTCGATGACTAAGGGACGGTTTTTTATATTACTTCTTCCTATTCTGTATGTTTCTTCGATGTAACCCGTAAGGTCTAATTCAAGGATTTCGTAGAACAACTCAATTATCCTGCTTTGGAGTTCGCAATCAGTTTCATTGTAGTTTTCGGGGAATCCATAGAGTACAATTTTCTTTGAGTTTTCGTTATTAAATTGGTATTTATTAGTTTGTAGTTCAGTTGTGTTTAAGATAGTTTCTGTTAGTTTTAGGTTTTGTATTTCTAGTTTTATTGAAGAACATATGGTTTCTAGATTTTCTATCTGTTTAGTAAAGTTATTTATTTCAACTTTATTGTTATTAATGCCATGAGTAATTTCTCGGAAGTTTGGTGAGAATTCTATTTTTATACCGCTGAGGGCCTTACACATTTCAGCTGCAATTAATTGTTTAATCTCTGTAATTACGCATAGCTTGTTATGTTCGAATTTCTGATCTATTAATGTCTCCAACTTATTGAGCATAGTATCAATTTGCGAATGTGGTATGTTAGGACTCTGTGGTTGGAATGTATCGCCTATTACGCTTATTTCGTCGTCGATGTGGGTGCAGTCGTTATTGGTGTCTTCCAGAGCAAGTATCTGATACAAGGAAGTATTTCCATCTGTCATTAAGGATATGATGACGAAGAAGTGTCATTGTTAAGGAAACTCTTTAACGGTTTATAATAACTACCTGGTGTTTGGGCTTGTATAATTTGTACTGATAAGAACTTTTCACCTATGCGGATTATGATAGGTATAACTTAATGGCCACAAAATTATAAATTAGGTATCTATTAAGGTTTTAATGAATCATTTTGAATAGAATTTATGGCGCCGACTTGTAACCTATCAGTGTGTGGGGTGGGTAACCCATCAGTAGGTACCTATTAATAATAGTTGTTTTTTTGCTTTTTAGTTTTAGTTTCTTAGTAGTTTTTTTGTTTTTTGAAGTCGGTTTTTTAAACGCAGTTTTTATTTTTATGTAACAAACCATTGGTTTTTTCATTTAGGAAAAGATACACTTGTACATGTTATACCCAACCTCTGAAAGCCAGGATCTACAGCAGATACCACTAACCATTGAACCTTCTTTATTATATCTATGCATTGAAACATAAATATACCAAAACACTGAAGTCTGGCGCGTCCCAGTGATATGAACCACTAGGTCTTCGATCACGCAACGAAATAGTGCAGAACATACCTAATTATCGTTTTTGAAGAAGAAAATGAATAGTGTCCCTTTCTAATGTTCTAATTAAGTTTATCAAATTAGAACTTGTTACAGACGCGCATTCGACCTCCGAGCGTGTGAGAGGGTGGCTGAACTCGCGACCCGCGCCCGGCGACCGCCTGCGCGTCTTGCCTTATTGTTGTTCATGCGTATCACATTATAAATATTATTAAATAAACAGAAATAAACTTAAGTTTGTAATTTTTGTTTCATTATAATATGCATGACTGCCTCGTTGGCCGAGTGGTCGCAAGTGCGACTGCCGTGCAAAGGGTTCGATTCCCGGGTCGGAAATAATATTACGGGGTTTTTATTTAACCAGCACGAAGTCTAAACCCGTGCCCGGTATATGGCAATAGGCTAACCCACCCTATTACATGGGACTCATAGCATAAAAAGTGAAATGTGGGTGTTACATTGTACAGTGGCATTGTGCTGTAATGTGCACCTCTGCCTACCCCTTCGGGAATAAAAGGCGTGATGTTATGTTTTTATAATAAGCACTATGATAACCTGTTTAACCTTAAGAATGTGGTGTGTATTTAAAATTTAAATTCCCTTGCCTCCAGAATAGTTCGTGTGTTCAATGAAAGTCCAAAATGAAATAGGTAAAACTTTGTAATTGGGCCTCCGGTAACCTCACTCACACGACGAAATACAAGGCAAGCTTTGTTTCACGTCGGTTTTCTGCTCGGCCGTGGTATCGCTTCAGTCGAGCCGGGCCATCCGTGCAGTAGCATGGCTCTCCTACACTTAGAACTTTAGCTAATGAACATTATCTTATGTACATAAATACAATACATACCTAACGATTGATTCCAAATTCAATCACGTACCCATGGCTCTTAAAGTTAGCTAACATTGCACATACCTACTGCAAATAGTAACACTTCCACAATGAGATACCTCGTTGTGTTCCACGATAGTAGACGGTATCTAGAATTAGTGAATCACGATCCAAACTGAAGTAATAAAGTTATGACAACATGCTCGCATTCTACTCCCAGTTCTAATATACCACACTCGCACCGCCCACAAACCATTGTAGTATAATCCTATCTCGGCAGGCTACGGCTACGGCGTAGACAAAAAGGATACGCTACGCGGCGTAGCGCTACGAGTACGAACTGCGTAGCACGCTACGACAATCATGCAAGAATATGTTTGTGGGCACACCTCTCGGATAGGCGAATGTTTGATTTTCTAGTTTTTTATTCGTAATGGGTAAAGTACATACATAACAAATCTTTTATTTATTTCTCAAAAAGCTTTAGAGAGCAGAGGAGCTACGCAGGGGTGTATGTACGCATACATAATATAAAGTGTGCTCGCTTTTTATTTTCAGGTTTTTGCGTACCGTTAAGACAATTCCGGTAGCCCAAAAAAGATTTAATTAGGTATCACTCGGCACTGGTATCGAACCAGAGACCTGAATCGATTACGAAGATTTAATATAAATTGATCGGTACCTGCTGATACAGACACATATTGTCTACCGACGAACTTCCTTCCATCATGACTGTCTATCTATGTTACAACTTTCGTGAGGCATAGGTACTGAATTATGTTTCTAGAGCAGCAGCGCGACAGTTGCTGCATCGCGAATATATGCAAGCCTCTAGCATAGCATGGCTTGAAACTAGTCGAGCAAACAATCTCGTTAGTAAACCGAAAAACATAATGACTAATAAACAGTAGGTATAGTAGTATCCTCGGCGACACAGGCTGCACGTCGACTTTTGTACGATATTCATTACTTACCTATAATTCGAGAGGAGTGCTCGATAAGTTCTAGCGGATCATAATCTTGAGCAGTATTTGCGCGGTGAGTTAACCGATCGTCTCTCTAAAGGGCGATGTGCAATATTTAATACCGGCTACTAATACAACAATAATACATTATAACAAAAAGACAAAATGAAATTTAAGAGGCCGACAATGCACCTGTAACTCCTCTGGTGTTGCGGTTGCGGGCGCTGTTCGCTTACCATCAGGTGATCCGTCTGCTCATTTACCTCCTACTCCATAAAAAATAGCATATTACTATATTTTTTTAGCAGTTGAGTTCGGATCGAATCGAATCGATCAGTTTATGCAACAGCCAAGAACCTGCCCCAGTAGCCACAGCAGCCACCGGGGTAGTAATTGTGCACAACACTCGTTATCAATAATTTTCAGTTTCACGGCTTATTCAAGTCTTGGTTCTAATCTCGCGCCGAAGCGTAGTGACGTCATCACTTTAATTAAAAGTAAAGTAACTCTTGCTTCAGACGCGAACAGAATGTATAAAAATTCTTTGACGGAGGAATGTACATCAAAATGCCTACTTCCACTTCGTGACAGCAGAATTTCATGTATGTTTGCCGTCCCATTTTAGTAAGTTAAACTGGTTCTGGGGGGATTTTTTGGTAGGTAAATAAAAGTCAAAATCGCTTTTTCCACTTCATACTCACTGTATGTCTTTATTTATTTTTTTGTGTTTTTTATTAATTTATTTTTAAAACGTTCTTTAAATCAAATTTATATTAATATTAAATATATATCTCGAGTGTATTTACATGGTATATACAAGCGTGTATGTACATGTGTGTCGTCCGCAGACGCTATGTACAATGGATTACACTAACATTATGCTACGTACTTACATACACAGATATACAAACAAGTCTACGCTACAGCCGGCGCGGCCAGGCGCTCGCACCGGGCCAGGCAGCCTACTCGATAAATGCATACTTCCGTAGCCACGCGACCATCAACCTTACTACTCATACAAATACGAGCGACTCGCCGCACCAGACATATTTTTATTTTAACCTAATTTCGTACATCGTTTAGTTCACTCGTTATGTAATATATTTTTTTATTTTATCTTATTTTATTTATTTAACTTTTTTATCAAAACATTGGCGTTATCGTTATGTTATACTTGTATACAAGATGGCGGCCGAACTCGATCGTCTAATTAAATAATTGCAATATAAATAATACAAAATGTATCAAGTTTACACATGTAGGGAACACTCACAAAGAGTAATATGCAAACGGATACCACCACACGTTCGGACACGATCATGTACCAACCGACGAGCGAGTGGCACACAGGCGCCCGTGGCCGCTCCGCCCGCGCACTACTGTCCGCCGCGTCACGGCGCTTGTGATGTCGCGCGCTACGCGAGTCAACTCTACTCGCACTACGGCGGCGCGGCCGAGCGCCGAGCGGCCCGCGGAGACATATAGTGAGCATGACGATCTAGTGCTGGGGCATCGCTCGAGCGCTCGGACATGTCGCCACTCTTATTTTCTACTACAGAACAGAAACAATTAGAACAGGCTACATATGACCGACGGCTCACACGACAGTATCGCCGCAGTCTATCCACCGGACATAAACAAAACTACGATATGTCGTGGCCGGCGCATTACACTTACGTTAACAAATTATTGCTAGGTAAAGCACTCGATTATACTAGAGTCAACGTAACACGGTACCGTAGTATTAGTGGCCAGGGAGTCGAACGCGGAGTGAGAGTGCGATAGGTACACGTAGTCGCGACAAACTTAACGAAACAATAACATACTGTATAGGAACACATTGTATAATTAGCTAAGCATGCGAGACACGCTAACAAAATGCTGCAGAAATATCAACAAAATTTACTAAACACTAATTCAATCTAGGTCAGTAATAAAATCATACAGTATATCTAAGGCATACCATAAACTAAATCAATCAAAAACAAAGGAGCAAGGAATCACTTAACATTTACTTTTTAATCATTAATTATTCCAATCTAGAGTACTGGTACCGTAGCAGGTATTTACCGCGTAGTGTACAGATTGTAACCGTTACATATTACATATGAACATAATAATATAATAGTTATGTCTCCTCCGTTTAGTCAGTGTACTATTGTAACTAATACAATCGTCAGAATATCACGAAAAGCCGTGTCACTGGGCAACTCTAGTCACCGGTACATAAACAATAGTTCACACGGATATTGTGACCCGATGTGCACAGTACCTTGCTGTCTCTACTTCGAGCTGATAATTTCACGGACTTATTAACATCTGTAGGTACTATAATTTAATCACAGAAACTGAACTGTAGGAAAATATATCAGCTATCTATGTATTTATAATCTACGAGTACGAGTTAATCACAGTCGATGCGCTCCCGACACTGCCCGCGCTACGCGAACCCGTAACCTACCTTATACTAAGTCGACAATGTTTGTACTGCACAATGTAACAAGTTAACCATACACTTCACATGATTCTACGAGTTTGACTAACAAATCAAAACATAACAGTCAATAGATCAATAAATATAATAAATATGATCGCGTCACTAAGAGGCGAGCCTCGCACGTGTCTGCGTAGACGACCTAACGATGCTAGGCAACTTTTGATTCATGAACAGTCCTCGTCGACTGGACGTCATCGGTCGGTCCGCGCCGTCTCGCCCTGTCATCACTCCAACTACAATATATACATAAATATACTTCAGTTCATTAAACAGTTTGTACCTCGACCCGGAGTCTTGAAACAACAACCCGCGAGTGGAGAGTCCGTCAATAAATATATCGTTCCGACTGGAATACATTCACTCACTTACTTACAAATATATTCACTTTGTAGCTAATTTTCATTTTTGATAGCAATCATTTACTTCCCACGCTTGCTGCCTGTATATGATGGCGATTGTCTAGAGAACATTAACCCACAATATACAACAAGCTTACATATCTGGCGAACTCTGTACATGATAGTGTTGGTTAGCACAGGATCATGTCGAGGCAGCGCTCGCCCTGTCTAGCTGGACAATGTTTAGAAACTCATCGTCGTGGACATGATCCTAGTATATTTGTACACGACTCGGTATAATATTATTAGTACAAGCCGCCACCAGAGGTTAGTACAGCCACACATCACGTCCCACTGTACTGCGCTCTTGGACATATTGTATTTATATATTTTTGTTTTTTCTTCCTTTAATGCATTTTCACTAAAATAAGGTAGATAAGGCAGGCGTATTCAATACATCACTCTCTAGCTACATTTCGAAAGATATCGCGTATGTAATGCGTACTAGTAATATTATAGCTGCTGGAACTCGAAGTACAATACATGAGGAGGCCGCGGCCTACGTATACTAAACTAGACAGTTGTACTCGTCTTAGTGACAGCGCTACGTAGTATATACCGACATTACATTACGTGGATATTCATAAGATACCATGAGTTACGAGACGCTACAGGTACGTCCGACTACAGTAAGCAGTCCGCGTGAGCTCCATTCTGTATGGCATAGTATACCCACCTACACTACATACAGTATGGCGTACGCTCACACTACATACAGTATGACGTACGCTCATACTACATACAGTATGGCGTACGCTCACGCTATATACGGTATAACGTACGCTCACACTACAGTACACTCGCACTACATACAGTATGGCGTACACTCCCACTACATACAGTATGGCGTACGCTCACACTATATACGGTATAACGTACGCTCACACTACAGTACACTCGCACTACATACAGTATGGCGTACACTCCCACTACATACAGTATGGCGTACGCTCACACTATATACGGTATAACGTACGCTCACACTACAGTACACTCGCACTACATACAGTATGGCGTACACTCCCACTACATACAGTATGGCGTACGCTCACACTATATACGGTATGACGTACGCTCACACTACAGTACACTCACTACATACAGTATGGCGTACGCTCACACTATATACGGTATGACGTACGCTCACACTACAGTACACTCACACTACATACAGTATGGCGTACGCTCACACTATATACGGTATGACGTACGCTCACACTACAGTACACTCACACTACATACAGTATGGCGTACGCTCACACTATATACGGTATGACGTACGCTCACACTACAGTACACTCACACTACATACAGTATGGCGTACGCTCACACTATATACGGTATGACGTACGCTCACACTACAGTACACTCACTACATACAGTATGGCGTACGCTCACACTATATACGGTATGACGTACGCTCACACTACAGTACACTCACTACATACAGTATGGCGTACGCTCACACTAGCTGCCCGACGCTCCACATACTCCTGTCCACTCACCACCACACTGAGTCACTCGCACACTACTACACTGACACTCACTGGGGACGTAACTACTGGCTGTACAAGGCAATAACTGTTCTGAGATCAACTAGCTGTCGGAAGGTGGACGGTTTGGTTACTTTGCTTTGCGTAATAACATGAACGACCAAAGGCAATGACATCGAATGATATCGTTCATGTTATTGCATACTTGCATCAACAATATTGCAGTCTCTTGGAAACTGAAAATAATTAGGCACTACAATTTGAAAGGATAAAACAATGTTGTGTAAAGTAGTTTAGAATTCCGTAAATAGGGCGAATGTAGAGTGAGGTCCCCGATGTGAGGTGGCGTAGTAGTCGATCGCCGCGTTGAGGCGCTGGGGGCGCGCGGGGCGCGCGGGGCGCGGGGGGCGCGGCGGCCGCCACTGGCGCTATGAGCGCGGGTGCGCGTGGTGCGCGTGCGAGCCGCGCCGCTTCTTGTGGCGGTCCGGGGGCGCGCGGTAGCGGGGCGCGGCGGCGCAGGCGCCGGGCGGGGACGAGTAGCGGCGCTGCTTCATGGAGAAGGAGCGCTGGTTGCGTCCCTTGGCGCCGCCCTCGCCGTACCGCTGCACGGCGCCCGCGTTGAACTCCTCGGGCTCGGCGCGCGTGGCGCGGCGCGAGCGGGCGAGGCTCGGAATGTTGTTGAAGTCCGAGTTGCTGGTGATGTGGTGGATGATCAGGCTCTGGTGCGCCGACACGCGCCTGGGCGTGGGCGACGAGCATTGCAGCGCCGACAGAGGCGGTGGCGACGTCCTGCCGCCGACCGCAGGGGGCGCGGGGGCGCCGGGGGGCGCCGGGCCCGCTACTGCCGCGATGATGGGCGGGCTACCTGCCGCGCGAGACCCGCTGTCTGACCACTCCTATGACAAATGCATAACATTTTGTTAATGTTCAGTACTTGACGAGTTATCACGATTGCGCTTTTATAACAATTAATGGATACATATAATCTATTAATAAACGAAATTAGACAGTGACCCAAAATACACAATTTGAAGAGCAATAAGTAATGGATATATATTAGTATAATGACGTACCGGCTCGCTGTCGGAGGGCTCGGGCGAGGGCTCGCGCGAGGAGAGGTGCGCGCGGCGCAGCGGGAAGAAGTAGGACTCGAAGGTGTCGCGCACCCAGCGCCGGTACTGCAGCACGTGGTCCGTGACGCGCACGATGCGGCCCAGCACGCTGTGCCGCGCCAGCAGCGCGCTGTGGCCGCCCACGGCCTGCTGCAGGATGATGTAGCCGTAGTCGAACGCCTGCGACACACGCCCCGTCACTACACGCCCGCACTACCCTCCGGCCACATGGCACGCCACTCACCTGCTTCACTTGTATCGCTCCGTAGCTGGAGCGTCCGATGTCGTTGCCCGGCGTCAGCGGGTCCTCGATGCACAGGAGCGACGGCCGGTGACCGTCGTTCATCTCCTGCGAACAGACACCGCACAACGTTAGCTCCGGCGGCCGCGGCTAGCACTCCATCGTCGGAGCCGCGCCACGGAGGCGAGGCTTACCTTCTGTATCTCGTCCTTGGAGACATAGGAGCCTCCGTTCTTGACCCGTATAGCAGTCTTGACGTAATTGAACTTGCGGCCGTACAGCTCAAAGAACTCGATGAGCAGCACGCCGAGGTTGTGCGGCTGGCGCAGGCGCTCGGGCCGCGGGTGGAGCTGCAGGAAGCTGATGCACATGAGGATTAAGGAGTACGAGGAGATGCCGCCGGTGAACACCTCGTTCAGGTCGCGCTGCAGCAGGAACTGCTTCAGCACCATCACCAGCCGCGTCAGTACTGGGTACTTCTCCTGCAACACGTCACCGCACTATGTAGCACTAGTTACATGCTATCCTACACGGTCACCTTACTGTCCGTGCACTCACCTTGAACTGCTTGATGAGCTCTGCGCTCTTGACTCCGCTGCTCATGTTGAATGATATATCCACCTGGCGGAGGAAACAAACCTTACAGTTCAATACATTCCTTGATTCATTCACCAGCAGCAAGTACCAGTGAACTATGTGTTTGCTAAAGAAGCACAAGTTACAGTCAACTTACTTTTACGTCTGAGTATTTGTCTGTCATCTTTACGATGGGCACGGTGGCCTTCTCCAGCACCTTGATGCTCTCCTTCTCGGCAATGTCTTGTACCACCAGCTCGCGCTCCAGCGTCCACAGCGGTAGCTTCTCCCACTGACCTGCAACAGCAACCGCCAGCGTCACCATAACTGTGCTCCATTCGAGTCACATTCGATTCGACCACGGTGTTTACTTTGTACCATTGCAACAAGAACAAGTCCACCAAAAGTATGCGTATTGAGATAAAAACTTGGACCGTTACACTGGTAGCGGTGGCACACTCCGCCACACAGACTACACAAAAACTGCCCGAGTCACTGACACCGGCACACTGCCGGCCTCTACTGGACACGCCAGTGTCACGAATTCTTATTGATATTGCAACGTTCTCGATATTCATACTCGTAACAACAACATATTAGTGTGAGCGGTCTGGCACATTACGCGAACACGTCAGACTAGCTATCATGTCATAATTATATCGACATATTTCTTGAACTCCTAACGATACCAGCCACATACGACAGACGATACGTAAGGAAAGAAAATAAGTATAATATAGGTATTATGAATGACGCCTTTACGACATTACGCCTTTTAGAACTGGTGAAGTGTTAAATACTTCTGTTCCATGAAATGTGGGGCTATCTAGCAGCTAGTGAGAAAGATCATGTACATCGTGTCTAGGCAGTGGAGTGTAGTACAAGTGCAGATATTGCATTACAGCGGCTCGAGGCCGCGCTGCAAGTGGTCGCCCCGAAATAGCCGCGCCGCGCCCACTACTTGTATACACTGCCCAGTGACATAGTACACGACTACACTAGCCGGAGCCGTACTGCCGTACTACATCGCGCAGCGCGCTACTCGACTACAATAGAGGAATATTTGTGAATGTGTATGAGACGGACATTGACATACGACATAATGTTTTTACAATGTCTTGAATTCATTTAGTATAACTACTTCAGACATCGTCAATACGCCATTAATCTCATTATAATAGATGTAACCGAATTAATTCGTCTACTCAGAGACATTTGTGTGTAGCTGTCATCGTATGTATGTGGTAATGTGGTAGACGCATAATATTATTAATCGAGTAATACATGTGCACGTATAGGTATCAGGTTAATACTATCGCTAGCTGTCGGAGGTCGGGCGCACGTGGGCGGAGTTCAACAAACGCGCTCACTTCCACCGCCGCGCCGCCGCGCCGCCGCGGCCGCGCACTCAGCTGCCAGTCTGCACCGCGCGCCGTACTCAATACAACCATTTCATTAGGATAACATTACGACATTGTTTTACTAAATACCATATGATGATTACGAAGAATGCAGATCTTCGGATTAGACTTCTAAGTATTTAATGGAGCCGGTACCTATCAGGTGATTATGTTATTATGTCAGCGGCTTTGTTAAAAAGTATGAGATAAGCTTTATAGTCGTGTGTGTGATATGAAACCGGCTGCCGTCACAGTACACCCCGCGCCCGGCTGGGGCGTCGCTCAACGGCCTTGCGCCGGCTTTGCGAACGCGCCGTCTAGCCCGCACTAATGGCTCGCTGAGCACTAGTTGATCGTAAGGAAGGCAGGCAGTCAGCAAACCTATGTCAACGTAACGGCGGCTTAACATCTGACCACCTGATTAAGGTTTGACTGGACGCGACACGGGACATACAAACATACATCAATTATAATATTCACAATAAACAGTTTAATGTGTTAAATCATATTTTAATCTGGAGTGATTAGATAGTAGTGCAGATTGGGAGCATACACATTACACGACTGACTAATGCGAACTCTTTCATGTTTCCTTTCTCAATCAAACAGAAATATATCGCGAGGTAAGTGACGCATGTCCCTGCAACACTGCAGCCGCTACAGCAACTGTTTCTCACCGCATCACCCTGCACAATGCACACTAACGGAAGTCAAACGACGTCTTAACTGAACCTCTCCCTCCTCCTTGTGAAGGAGTATGTGTCAGTGCATACTTCGCACACTACGGACGCAATTTTAATTTGAAATAAATTACATAACTTTTATTTTTTTATGTTTCATGTCGACCGAGTTACTTTATACAAAAATTGGCTACTTCGCATTTGCAAGGTTTTTTCATCTTATAGAATTGAAACATTAACGCCACCGTTTTGGTGTTAACAGTACCTAGTGGTGATGGTGCAAAGAGTTTGTATATTATCTGTAAAGGAACTCACTGAACTCACCGATGACAACTAGATCAATGTCGCTGGTGGGTAGGTAGAGGCCGGTGCGGAACGAGCCGAACACCTCGACTCGTGCTTGCGGCCACAGCGCCATGATGGCGCCGCGGATACGGGTCACCACCGTCGACCGCACCAGGTGCTCCGTCTCCGTCGGGGACATGTACAGGTAGAAGTGCTCGATTTCTTCATGCAACCTGAAACGCGCAACACGTATCATCAGCTAGAACATAACTCTACAACGGGAGGACGTTCACAAGCCAAGCTAATCGTATAAGTCATTGAAAGTTGCACGTAGCATTCCTTAAAATGCTGCGTAGAGTTAAAATAGAAATAATTTGACATGTGACTAATAATAGATCATAAGGGAATATAACTATATTACAGAGATACGAAGAGATTTCTATATTTTTTGTCCCCCCCAGGATGTCCTCCTGTATCGTGGGTGTATTCATGAACCTAACTGATTTTGTCAGTTGCCCCACAGCCGTTGCATTTCACATGCACATCACACTCAGACCCGGAACTGCAACAATTTGAACAACGCCAGTGCGGCAATGAATGCCGTGATGACATAAGAAGACGCCACTCAGACTGCAGTAAACATACGTGATAGTTCTCTAATGTCAGTAAATATGTCTGCCGAGGTCCTACAGCTGTGTTCCGACAGTATGACAGTGACCACAGCTGACCTTAACATACTCCTTTCACCTGACTGCACTTACTCTGAATTCTTTTAAATCCAGTTTCAGAAAGCAACCTCTATCGAAATATTAACAAGGTGAATTACTTTTTTATTAATATGTGGCACTGGCATAGCATACCTGGTTATAAGGTATCAAATTCTTTCTCGTGTGTCTGTCTGTCTGTCTGAACGCGATAAAGCCAAAAAGTATTGTACAGATGTTTATACCATTTTCACAAGTACATAGCGCAATTTCTGAGGAAGGTTTAGGTGTATAATTTTTATGATTTTGATCTACCGCGGGCGAAAAGCTAATCCTTACTAATATTATAAATTGGAAAGTGAGTTTGTTTGTTTGTTCCGCTTTCACGCCGTAACTATTAAACCGATTGCTTTGAATTTTTGCAGACGTAAAGTTAGAAGTCTGGATTAAATAATAGGGTACTTTTTGTCCCGGAAAAATTGATATTCCCGAAGGAAAACAAAAGTATTGGTATAGATGGCGCTGTGTGTATTGGTATATGTCACATAGGCTACTTTTTATCCCTTTGTGACGCGAGCGAAGCCGCGGGTAAAATAAGCTAGTGTTAAATAATGTATTGTACGTAAACATTTGGAGACTAAAAGCTAACATAATAATAATAATTTAGAAAACTTACTGTAACATGAGCTGTATAATACAATATTGAACTAGATGAAATAAACGTGCTGTCTAGACCAGCACGTGTAGTTCCTAACTCGGCCGGCCCTGCTCCCACACGGCCCATACCTGAGCAGGTAGGTAACCTATATTCACTGTCATATCTACGAAATATAGAACCGTCTATTTCGTCTACATAATAATATTATCGAGTATACCAAGGTAATTTTAAATAAGTACACGGTTTGCTCTGCATACGAACAGTATACTGTATGTACTATATAAATCCATATACTATTTTTTTTAAATAAATAAAAATATAAGTGGCATTAATTTTTCTCCAGATTCGCACTTGTTTTGTCGCATGTACCTACGTGATTGTGTGCGGTACAAGTGCAATTAGTGCAGTGCTACTAGTACTGCTACTACTACTACTACGGCCTTGTAAGTTATTACAGGGCGAGCAGAGGGTGTGCAGCCAGACATTATTGTAGTAAGTCAGTGGCGGAAAACTGGCCATAGCTGATACCACCTATCTAAACAGGCTAAAGATATATCCTTATCAAAAAAACCCAAATGTATTTTCAAAACAAACGTGTCGCTATGTTACGTATGCATAATTATTTTTATATGGCATAAGCAGGTAAACGAGCAGACGGATCACCTGATGGTAAGCAATCGGAGTCGCCCATGGACACCTGGAACACCAGAGGCGTTACAAGTGCGTTACCGGCCTTTTGGAGATTAGGAGTTTGAGGATCGTTGTGGATTCAGGAATTGGGGAGATTGGGGATGGGGGGGGAGGTAATTGGGCCTCCGGTAACCTCACTCACACGACTAAACACAACGCAAGCGTTGCTTCATGTCGGTTTTCTGTGAGGCCGTGGCATCACTCCGGTCGAGCCGGGCCATTCGTCCCGAAGCATGGCTCTCCCACACTTAAATTATATAACATAACATAACATCACGCCATTTATCCCCGAAGTGGTATGCAGAGGTGCACTTTAGGGCACTTAATGCCACTGTACAATGTGATTATTATATTTATAACAATAACACACGAAATCTCGTAACTGAACATATTAAAACGATTCTATGTCATGGGATAATTGCCACCTCAGGACTCATTTCTATCCAAAATATCGCTGCTGCTGTTACACTGCACAAAAACATGTCGGCGGCGGGCATGGCGACGTCTAGTTGTGGCCTTTTTGTTTTAGTACAGGACCCAGATGCAAATTGTTACAATATTCGTTAACAAATGAGAAGAATAAAATACATACGAGACTTTACACCCTTCGCCCTTTTGTGAAACAACAAAAAATCAAGTAGGTACCTGGTTTTATTTTTTCGTAAATTTTATTAACTGTTTCGTCGATAAAAACACGGCCTTTATTTGTGTGCTAGTTACAACTAGCTGCCGGTTTAAAGAAATATTTTATCAAAAACTTAATATCCGATTCCTATGGATGTCCTTACAAGTTTACGTCGTCACTAATGCTTACTTCAGTTGCGTTTTCAGCGGGACTTTAAACAATAAGCGCTTCGGCTGTTCTTGTTGCTGTTTGTTTATAATTGTAAAATATTCAAGCCCTTTTATGTTGACAAAATTCAGTGACTTGAACATGTCTTGGGGACGCGCACTTTTGGCCTATATACAGTCATCAGCTGCTGTTGACAGATGGTGCCGTTTGCCTTTGTGGCACGTGTCGTGTCCGCCATTTTGTCAATAGAACGCAAGTAAGGCGGGAATGCGCATACGCCGCGCGTCCAGCTCCCGTGAGGTAACCTGCAATCGTTTGTGCTGTGCATGTATAGCGCAACGGCTACAGCTACGGCAACAGTAGCCGCCCTACTGTGAAACAGGCAGCGCACGGATTCTTCGTTTGATCCACCAATTCTTTGGCGGGATATGTATATCAAAATTTAATAGGATGTTTTGACTTTGATAACGTTATTCAAAACATCCACAACATAGCATAGGATAATAAGAAAATAGACTTGCAATTTTTTACAAATATTCTTCAGAAAAATTTGACATGAAGTTATAATTGAAATGATAATAGTAGCATTCTGTACGAGCCCCGAACTAGTTGCTAACTTACTGCCATAGAGTTAGTTATTTAATGGTTACTTAACCCAGTCCTTAGTAATTGGTGTTTGAACCATCACTAAGGGATAATTTAAGTAATCAGTTAATGTGTCTCAGCATGGCAGTATAATTTTTATAGCTTAGTCACAAACAATGATTTTCTATAGGTTTTATATAAAATTGCAACTTACGACATTTTTTTTCAAATTCAAATAACTTACAAACTTATTCCTTTAAAATTAGTCAGAAAACTTGGAAAATTCAGTATGAAGTCAAATCAAGCAATTAAAATGTTTTTGGATATTTTACAGTATTGGCAAGTTGAAATACATAAATTATTTTTTGACTGTGAAAACCACCTAGTATGACACAAGTCGGTCTTTTTACAAACTACCTACATAAATAAACAATCCATTACTTACAAAACACTTCACAACCCTTTTGACTGTTAGATGTTAGCTTTGCAAAGCTACACAGGTGCCCCACATGAAATTATGCTTGAACTATAATGTTAGAGCATTACAACATTTACAACATTTTGTTGAGTTTAACTATTTTTACTTTTTAGTACCAACTATAAAAATGTGGCAACTCAAAGATAGAGAAACATGAGATGTGCGCATTGTTTTAATAGGTATCTATCTTCATTAATAATTTATTTACTAGCCCATATCATTAAACTGTGAAACACTGCGAGGACCGGTGACTGCAACCTATTGTTCTTTAATTGTGTCTATAATGACAGTACTCAAAGGGTTAATCCTTACTTATATTATAAATTAGAAAGTGAGTTTGTTTGTTTGTTCGTTCCGCTTTCACGCCGTAACTAAACTAAACCGATTGCTTTGAAATTTTTCAGACATAAAGTTAGAAGTCTGGATTAAATAATAGTTAGGGTACTTATTATTCCGGAAAAATTTATATTTCCAAGGAAAAACAAAAATATTGGTATAGATGGCGCTTTGTGTATATGTATAGATGGATAGTCACATAGACTACTTTTATCCTTTTGTGAGGCGAGCGAAGCCGCGGGTAAAAGCTAGTTCATAATAAGTGCTATTTTAGAGTAAGTATTCCCATAGTAGGTGGGTCCGCAGGTAAAAGAGGTATTTACCTTTAAATATTATTATTATTTACAAACTTATACTATTTGTCTATAACAATAACAGAAAGAGTCAATCACTTAAAAAACCATCATAACATTTAAAAAACTTCTCGAGAGCCACATTTTTTGTAAGTACAGTCCTCTGCACATAAATTGGCAAGATTTGTTTGTAGTTGTTTCCTTAGAGCAAAATTACTTTTCAAGTTGATGCCAGGGGAAGCAGTATTACTAAACAATGATAGTCTTTAAACAACTTTGTTTCTAATTTTTATTTATGTTAAACTGACTTCACAAGTTCATGTACTACTTTTAATTAAATTCTGTATAGATATGATGATTATAACTAAATGATAAACTAGGTATGAGGAGTATTAAAAAGGATCACGACAAAAACTTTGCCAAGTTACATGTAGTTAGCTAAATTTTGGAATAAAATGCTCTAAATAAATCCTGTTTTCTTTCTTGGAGGAAAGAAATGGAGCAAAACATTTGGTACTAATTCATAAATATTTGCTTGGTTTGTGATTCAAATTCACTCTCTGTTCAACAATAACATTAGACCTCTGACAATTGCACAAGGTTGGCTACGAAAGTTGTCAGTTTTGGTATACAAAGTATTGACTCACTTCTCTGTTACTTCAATATTTCCTTTTAGAAGTGAGACTGGTTGAATCACATCAAGCATGTCATATCTATGTTGACCTGAGTACATTACTACTATGGTAACGATACCTACTACTAAAAAATGTCTTCATCCATTTTTATTCAAAAAATGGATGAAAACATTTTTTTTATTTTTTTTCAAAATATATTTTAATTTAGTCTAATTATGGATGTGCTATTAAATTAATAAATATTCTTTAGCATCGATTTTCTTGATAACAAAAATTCCACTTTATGTCGCCTATTAGTCAGTCAGTGATATCAGATAAACATCATACGTTTCCCATCGTAAGGATATGCAGGAGCGCAAATATTTTTTGTAATACCTACTTTTCGGCAGTTATGTAGCCTGTAATATAGTGGTAATGTATAACAGGAAACCAATCGACTACCACCACTGCAAGTTTAGCTACAAGTTCGGGTTCGGCGGCGAGTGCGACGACGGCGGCCCTGTCAGCTAGTGACGAGTGTCACGCCGCGCGACTCGCTCATCATAACCAACACGTCAAACACGTTGACATTGATAACCTACACCAGAGTAATTAATTAAAACGTACTTACCCTAAAATCCCTGGCTTATAGTTATAGTTAGCCATCCGCCACGGACAACCCCCGTATTCACCAATGAGAGCATCGTGGTTTTTGTTCAGGTTAAACGTCGATGCGCGGTTATCGTTCATTTTCCTCCGCGCGGGGTTGAAATAATTATTATTCCTACTTTCACCGTTCACATCATTTATTGGTATAAAGTCCTGTGCTTTATTCACATTAGGGTTAGCGTTTTCTAAGTTTTTCAAGTTCATTTTGTCTATATCACTTTGAGTTTCCCAGATACGAAGCCACAGGCGCTTCGCGGGTCCTTCCTGCTCGGGCTGATACCACGCCACGGCGGGATCCATTCAGCCGGAGCAAGGTTCCACTATATGAAATGACACATACTGTTGCATTTCACATTTATTTTAACGTATTGAAAATTAACACAAAACAAAAATAAGTCACACCACATTCGGAACATGGACGACACACGTATAGTTGACACTTCAGCAACTAGAGGGAGCCATCTTAGCAAAATAAGTTCTAGATTGTAACTCAAATTAAACACTTAAATATTTTACAGACACCATAAACACTGTAACATGTTTTGCTAATTGCGTATAAAAATGAAATATAAGTATTTAGTAACAATTTTAATGCTTTAAACCAATAATTCCGCTTGTAGAATATTTGCATGCCTATTTTGACAGTGGTACAAGAAGAATATGAAAAAAATGTGTTTGAATACACTGTCAAATGAATTTGATAATCAACCAAGTTCATGTACAAATTTATATCATAAGAATTTTGTGCCTCCAAAAATATTTATTTTCAGAACAGATAGAAATTTTTATTATGGTTTTACAATAGAATTTTGGCTTTAAAAAATAATGGCGGTTGTGTATCCAAACAAAAAAGTTTAAAAATATTTTGGTTCTGGCAATATTCGTGTTTAAAAATTAAGTTGAATTTTGATTTGATTGTGTGAATTATAATCGAAGAAAGAAAAAACTAATTATTTTGGTATTCATTAATTATTTTTGTAAAAAATCCAGTTATTATTACACTGAGTGCAACTACCGATTTCTGACCGAAATAATGTAATGTCAGCTCATGAAGATACTAACATGTCAATTGTCAACAAAAATAAAATGTCAAATTACTAAACTATTTCGCGCGTTTTTTTACGTGTGTACATCAATAATGTTTTATTTTGTGTAAGTTAAAATGTGTTATATGTGTAATCAATTTGAACAGGTAACTGGTGGATAAAAAATATCCGAATAATAAAATTAACCAACCTCGCATCGTGTTTATGTTATTTACTTAAACATATATCAGTAGTGGAATTAAAATTTCACCGTCAGTTTATTCTGATTCGAATATTGTCAAATGGTTATTCTACCATTATTTATGTACTTAAATCTTATCCAGTTTTTCGTCAATCAGTAACAATCAGTGCAATCTGTTCGACACACCAATATAAGCATAAAGTGTGAAGAAACATTGCTTCGATTTCCGCTGGAGTATTCTGACAGTACAGAAGGTATTAGTATTACAACATTGTTTCAGCTCTAACAGATGGAGCCTTGGATCACTTGCAGCAAAAGTTACTCATGAGCATTGTACTGAAAGTACTTGTACCCTGTAGACTAGCATTACAAGTACAACAGAGTGCTACCAGACTTCTTCCTAGACACCTCCACTGTATTCCAACAAACCTTACATATGTTGGTGCCAGAACAATGGCACAGCGCAGCATCACATCGTTTTTCAAAGTAACCCCGTCTAAGCCACTGGTCAAAGAAGAATTACCTGACAAAGATAATGACACAGTGAGTGGTGGTAGTTCCCCAGGCAGCCCTGAGAATGGCAAGGTAAGCAATTCATCCACAGTTTATTTACAATAGTGTTGTATTGTTGTAAGACAGGATATAGGACATCTGTCTCTGTAAATATATCAAAGATGTTTTTGTTACAGACAACTAAGAGACCTCGTCTAGAGAGCAGTGATAGTGACTTGTCGCCAAAGAAGAAGCAGCAGAACCCTGCAGACACCAAACAAAATGTATGCACCACACTGTCAGTCACACTGTGCCAGAACTAAGCACATGTATGCTCTGACAAATACTTTAATTCTTTTATACATCTTTCACTTTCATCACATCTTGCTCTAATTTCTGATATCTATTAGAAAATTATTTTTTGAGTATCTACTTATGTCCATTATTCTCATCACCAAACTAGCTGTTGCCTGCGACTTCATCCACATACAATATTAACTTTAGGACATGACTTTTTTGTTTAAATTTTTGAAAATAAAAGTAGCCTATGTTACTCCTTAGTACATCAGCGAACTGCACATAAAAGTCCCGTCAAAATTGGTCCAGTCACTCCAGAGATTAGCCGGTACAAACAGACAGACAGACAATAATTGTAAAAAAACGTGTTTTGGTATGTGTGTCATATTTATATTCACATACATGTAGTTAAAAATCTGTTAATTTTAATATTACAAACAGACACTCCAATTTTATCTATCTATACAGTGTGACTTGTAACTCCACGTATTCCTCTCGGGAGGTGATAATACAACTAATTTCCTACAAAATTTGACCTGAGGTCTCTGGTCGGGAAGTGGCTAGTAGTTTCCGAGATATTCCACATTTTCATTATTATATTATATATGTATTACACTAAGCATACAAACTATTACCAAACTTTCCTTGGTTTATTAGCTACCCAAAAACATTAAATTATTTATAAAATTCTCAAAAATAATAAATAAATTGGTCTTAATAAATGTTATGATCATAATTAAATATGTTTTGTATGTATCCATTTACAACAGAAGAAGAAAGTAAAACGGCAGCGCATTGAAAGCTCAGGGAGTGAAGCAGAGGCATCACCAGAAAGCAATGAACCATTGGTAAACACGGCGCCGCCCACCAGCCTCTCACCAGACAAGCCACAGATCAAGATTGAAAAGCAATCACCTAAAACATATCAATCACCTAAAAGTAAAAAGAAGAAACCGCTTACAGAACCCAATGGTATCAAGAAGAGTCCCTCACCAAAGAAGGATAAGAAAGAAAATTCTACAGCGGAGTCTAAACGTAAGAGTATAGAGAAGGAAGACAAGAGTGAAGAGAAGAGCAATGAATTGGAGCTGAGTAGTCCGGAGCAGCTCGTGCCGGGTGAGTACCGCAGGGACGGGGGACAGCGGCGTGGGGCCTGTGCTGACGCGCGACTGTTACAGAGGCGGAGTACGACCCCAGCAAGGCGCGCTACCACCCCGTGCGCGACGCGTGCTGGGCGCGCGGCCGGCCCGTGCCCTACCTGGCCCTGGCGCGCACGCTGGAGCTGGTCGAGGCCACGTCGGCACGCCTCAAGATCATAGACACGCTCGCCAACTACCTGCGCTCCGTGCTGGCGCTGACGCCGGAGGACCTGCTGCCCAGCGTGTACCTGTGCCTGAACCAGCTGGCGCCCGCCTACGAGGGCCTGGAGCTGGGCGTGGCCGAGTCGTACCTCATGAAGGCGGTGGCGGGCAGCACGGGGCGCACGCTGGCGCAGGTCCGCGCGGGCGTGGCGCGCGAGGGCGACCTGGGCCGCGTGGCCGAGGCGGCCCGCGCCGCGCAGCGCACCATGTTCCCCGCGCCGCCGCTCACGCTGCGCGGGGTCTTCGCCGCGCTGCACGACATCGCGCGCACCACGGGTACCGCTCCTCTAACTGCTAATGTTATAAAGACTTTAATGTTATAAAGACTTGTAGTGACAGTGTATTCAGTGTGTATATTGTTATGTCCCCAGGCCAGGCGTCTATGAATAAGAAGATCAGCAAGATACAGACACTGTACGTCGCCTGCAGACACTCCGAGGCCAGGTACCTCATAAGGTATACTGTCATTTCCTGTAGTATTGCACTGAGCAGCTTTTCATCATCTAAAGTATTGATTTAATCATTTGTTAATAACAAATATATACAGGTCACTAGAAGGCAAGCTGCGTATCGGACTGGCGGAGCAGTCAGTGCTGCAGGCGCTGGCGGTGGCGGTGGCCCTGACTCCGCCCGGGCCCGGCGGCGTCACACAGCTCGACGCTTCGGAGGGCATGTCGCCTGAAGAGTTCAAGGTCAGCTCGCTAACATAACCGACCGTGAATCCTCATTGCGGTTAACATTAGTTGGTACAATACATTCAGGGATACACTAAAACATTGTTCATTCTTAGATGCCAGACAGTAGTCGTTGATGGCGCTGTGTGGGCGAGTCGATTCATTCTCAACAAAATGGTTGACGGGACTGGTTGTTGTGCCACACGTCATTCATAGATAGAACTTCTGCTGGAACAAGTCGGCTCGCCTAACGTCCCAACGTGATAAAGAGCTGCTCTAGCAGACTTAATGACTTGCCTAATATTACCGATAAAAAATGTGTCCTCTTTGCTGGTGATATATCTGTTGTGGTGTCCGACACAGGAAAAGTAAAACCTTACGAGCAGGAAATAAATGAGACTTTGGAGGCCATTATACACTGGCTTCAGGACAATGATTTGGAAATTAATGTCTCCAAAACTAAATATGTTCAGTTTGCTAATTATAAGCGTAAACCACCCAGGCTAAATATCAGTTATTCTGGTCAATCTGTCTCTAAAGATAACAATATTAAGTTCTTGGGTATTACACTAGACGAAAACTGTAATTGGAAACTACACGTAGAAAATGTCTGCAAGAAATTAAATAAATTTGTGTATGCACTTAGGCAACTACGCAAAACGACAAATGAAAGCTCAGCGCTATTGGCATATCACGGTTACGTGAACTCTGTGTTAAGGTATGGCCTGTTGTTGTGGGGCAATTCATGTGATATAGACAAAGCATTCATAGTTCAGAAAAAATGCATTCGGGCTATATGTGGAGTAGGACCATTAGAGACATGCAAACCGCTTTTCATAAAGCTAAACGTTATGACTTTGGCATCTCTGTATATTTTTGAGATCTGTATGTTTGTGAGAAATTATAACTTGTTTAATAGAGTGAATGAAGATAGTAAGCATTTACAACGAGATGCATCCAAACTAAAAATGGATAATTGTCGCAGTACTCTTTATGGCAAGAATTGTGCAATAATGGCAATTAGTATAGAGGTATAATAAAATTCCTCGATCTATTAGAGAACTACCTTTGTGTCAATTTAGAATTAAGTTGAAAGCGTGGCTAATTGAAAAATGTTTTTACAGTATTAAGGACTTCATTAACTATGGAATTGTAGAACGAAATAGATTTTAATATTATGACATGTAATTTTACAGACATAATGCCAAAAAAAAGAGGATGATAAATGTAAAAACCAAAATGTGTATTAGCGCAGTACCGAATGTAGCATGTATGACGATGACTGACGAAGTGCCGTCCGCAGTCGCGCGTGGAGTGGACGGCGCGCGCCATCAAGGCGACGTACTGCCAGTGCCCGCACTACGGGCGCGTGCTGGCGGCGCTGCAGGCGCACGGCGCGGCCGGCCTGGCGCAGCACGTGCGCCTGCAGCCCGGGATACCGCTCAAGCCCATGCTGGCGCATCCCAGCAAGAACGTCTCGCACATCTTCGACAGGTGTGTATGTCGCCCGCAGATATCTCTTAGTTTCTTTGTTTTAAATAAATGATGGCCCGCACTCCCACTAGAATTTTCTCCTGTGTTGTATCGTTTATATACAAATGATACCCAAACCCGAAACAAAAATATGTGGATCACACAAAGAGTTGCTCGGTGTGGGAATCGAACCCGCTACACGTTGCGCGCTAGCCGCTTGCTGCCCAGTCTCCGCGTCAACCGTGCAGTCAAATAAATAAGATACAGGTGGTACTATCATAACTTGGGGGTTGGTCTATTGAGAGGACCCGGCCCACTACAGGTGCAGATCAAGCCTCGAGCCTTAGTCCCCGAGCCACAGCATTTAGCTGAGCGCGATATTTTCCACTATACGTCATTCATATTATTATGACATTTTCATTTGTATTTGGCACAGTACTGAGGTACAATTCCCACATTCCCTAGTCTTTTTCTCAAAAAGCTAGTCGCGTGTAGGAAGCCCCCAACAGTAGTGGCTGCGCAGGTTCGAGCGCGAGCAGTTCACGTGCGAGTGGAAGTACGACGGCGAGCGCGCGCAGATACATGTGCCGGCCCGCGGCGCCGCGCCCCACCTGCCCGGCGCCGCCGTCTTCAGCAGGAACCAGGAGGATAACACCAGGTCATCTCAAACTACACATTCTCTACTCAATATTTTTACTAGTATTTTGTATAATTGCTTATGCTTTAATTTTGTAACAACAACCTTTGAAAACAACTTTTTTATTTATTTATTCGTTCACTACAAACTCCATTGCATTCATTTAAAAAGTAGTTGCGAATTAAACCAAAAACATTTAAGTAGTTAGCTTAGTGTAAAACAAATTCACAAAAATATGTAACACGAACTAACCTTACACGGTACAACTTACACAAACCTTAATTAATATCGCTCCACACCTGAATTCGTGAACCAGAGGCGCGGTTCGGGTACGCGGGAATATTTACATTCCGTTGCCCATGAAAGGAACAAGTATCAGGAACTCTTAAGTGCGCTGTACAAAGATACAAGGATAACGGATAATCAACAATTATTATTCATCGCGGCGCCCATTTACTGCTTCCCAGTCAAACACCGATTTTTTTTATTTACGAAAATGGGACAATCCTGGTAGAATCGCCATGAGGTGTCGGGTGTAATAAAGGAAACAATTATTAATTAGGATACACGTGTTTAACAGATGAAAGTCTGGATTCCGACTAATACATTCTTAGATCACTAGACTACAAGATCTTGCACTGTGCAGCAATGCGGGAGCTATAAACATATAGTTACAACTGTAAGTAATGTGTTTGTATGTGGCAGTAAGTACCCGGACGTACTGCGCCGCCTGCCCGCGCTGCTGAAGGACTCCGTCACGAGCTGCGTGCTGGACTGCGAGGCCGTCGCCTACGATACTGTGAACAAGCAGATCCTGCCCTTCCAGGTCAGCGACGACTTAGTTTGGATTATCTGTACCGATGTTGATGTACAAAACTTCAATGCTATGCAGTGGCGTAGCGAGGCTTGGCGGGGCCTCGTATAAAAAATGTTTGCGGGGCCCCAAAAATTTATTCCATAAAAATAATTCATACTTTGACTTTTGTGATTTCTAAAATAAGTATTTGGGATTTTTTCATTAATTTTTGCTTACGCACGTTGGCCTGTATAATGGGTGCCCCGTATAATTGATACGGCAGATACGCCGGTAACTACGCCCCTGATGCTATGTACCAGTTCCGACAGTCCCACCGTCTCCCGACAAGTGCTGAGCAACAGTCTCCCACTCGGAGAAGGAATGAGCATTACATTGGTCACCATGTTTGCTCAAGGTGGATGCGTGATTTCAATGTTATCATTTGGAATTATAAATCTAGTCGTCCTCACGACATTTTACTTCGTTGTAACGTCAGTGGTACCCAAATAATCTTAGAAAGTGTTGGAAAAAGTGCAATTACATTGGTACTTGCCAAGTTTTGAATTAGTGCAATGTCAATGAAATGCTGCAGTATGAATGTATGCGTCGCCGGTACAGATACTATCGACGCGCAAGCGCAAGGACGCGCGCGAGGAGGACATCCGCGTGCAGGTGTGTGTCTACGTGTTCGACCTGCTCTACCTCAACGGGGAACCTACCGTCCACCGACCTCTGGCGGAGAGACGGGAACTGCTCAGGGAACACTTCCAGGAGACGCCAGGTCACTGCATATTACATTACAATTATTATTAGCTTGAAATTATTAGCTAATAAATCTGCTTTTTATTACAAGTTCTTTTAGTATTTTATGTTGTTTCTGGTTAAAATTACTTTTGATTGCATTAATTGTTACTGTTCTAAATGAAATATGTAATAATATAGGTGAATGGCAGTTTGCAACTAGTCGGGACTGCACCTCAGTGGAGGAGGTGCAGCAGTTCATGGAGGAGGCTGTGAAAAACTCTTGCGAAGGCCTCATGGTGAAGGCACTCACCGGGGACCAGTCGCAGTATGACATCGCGCGCCGGTCACACAACTGGCTCAAGGTATGCGCTGCGTCCGATCTGTGGTCTGCCACCTGGCCGGGCGTGCTACAACACTACGGTATTGTCTTCGCAGTTAAAGAAGGACTACCTAGAGGGAATGGGCGACACACTGGACCTGGTGGTGATCGGGGCGTACCTGGGTCGAGGCAAGCGCGCCGGATTATACGGCGGCTTCCTGCTGGCCTGCCGCGACCCCGACAGCGAGCAGTTCCAGGCGCTGTGCAAGCTGGGCACCGGCTTCACGGACGACGACCTGCGCGACCTCACCAACGAGCTGCGGCCGCTGGCGCTGGCGGCGCCGCGCGCCTACTACTGCTGCGGCGCCGCGCCCGACGTCTGGCTGGACGCCGCGCGCGTCTGGGAGCTGCGCGGCGCCGACCTGTCGCTGTCGCCCGCGCACCGCGCCGCCATCGGACGCGTCGCGCCCGACAAGGGCATCTCGCTGCGCTTCCCCAGGTACCCGGCCTCGACCCTAGCGTGACCGGTGTCACTTACCTCTTTTATAAGCACTACTTAAGATAGGTAACACTTAACGACGTTTTGGTTTTCGCCAACCCCATGAGTGACACCTCATCATACAAGTAAGGGATTAGTTTAGGGGCTCCCTCACGCTAAGTCTCTCATAATTAAGAGATGGTTAAGGAGCGACTGATACAAACGCCCATAAGACTCATCGTTATTATCGTATTTATAAAGTGAATATTTACTTATTCCACAATATTCCTGTAGGTTTGTCCGCGCCCGTCCAGACAAGCGGCCGGAGCAGGCGACGACCTCGGCGCAGGTGGCCGACATGTACCTGGCGCAGGACCAGGTCAAGAACTCCGCCGCCACCGCCAACAACTACGACGACTTCTACTGAACAACACGCAACTCGAATGTTATTGTAAATCTGTTATATTCCGCATGTACACATTACTAAAGATGTTTCCTATACATACAGAAGTCATTGGCTTTTTATTCCTATCTCTTAGTCCCGCAATCCTGCGTAAATATTTATATTTCATGTTCTTTACATATCAAATATTTAATATGCGCACTTTGTGTCAGTGAACAGGATTGAGTGCTTCTTGGACACCGAGGGCGGTAGAGAAAGTATACTATAATATATATAAAGCTAAACAGTTTGTTTATTTGTTTCAAAGCGTTAATCTCAAGAACTAAGGTCCAATTAAAAAAAATGTTCTTGTGTTCGATAGTCCATTTATCTACGAAGGTTATTGGGTATAAAATATCACTATATAATTAATAAGAGCCGAACAGAGCTGATGATACCGCGCGGAAGTAGCTAGTTTTTTATATATTTGACGGCCGACGTTGGCCACTGTCTCGCCTGGTGGTAAACGATGATGCGGTCTACGATGGCGCACGTCGTCACGTAAGCAACCTATTCACTTGGGCCTTGAAGACTCCCAGGTTATACTCTTCACGAAATACAGATTCAAATAACAGATATATTTAGGTCTAGATAAAATAAAGATGTGCATTACTCCAACACATGGGATGTGAGTAGTTACTAATAATAAAATTCATCATCACCAGTATCAGTAGATACTCATACACATATACACATACAAGATACGCGCGAAAAACAATACCCTAGCTTCATCGGGTAATAAAAAAAATAGGTAGGTTTTTAAAAATATTGAACATATATAAGGTGTTATATAATTAATTGCCACGGCTTTCATGGGAGGTAGTGTTATGTTTACAGATTACAATAGTGAAGAAATTACGTACCCCGGACCAGTTAATTAAGTAACTAAAGTAATTAAGTAAACATTGACTACAAGAATGTAGTATGTGTGAAGAATGAAGTGTGTGTACACACTTACTGCATAGTGTGGTTCACAAATTACGCGCGATGCGTCGCTTAGTCAATGAAAACAATTGCTATCTCTTTAGTGTCGGGGATAACACGCGCGCTACCTTAAAATACCACATACTTCTCCTAGCTATCTATCCTCCTATTTTCAGTTCATAAGTGCAAACCACAGCAAGTATCTTCGTTCCACTAATAATCTTCTTCTACAATGTCCCACACACCGGACCGACTTCCTTCACTCTTCATTCTTTGTCCAATCCATTCTGCTGTGGAATGCGCTGCCCACGGATGTCAGGACGGCAACCAGCCGGCTTAGTTTTAAAGTTAAGGTTCGTGAACTATTGCAGAGGGAACAGACAGACGCATCACGTACTTAATTTATCATTTTGGCGATTGTATTTAATATATATGTATATATATATATATATGTTATATGTAGTTTTATTCCCAATTTATTTATTTACTTTTATAGTATTGTTATTTAGTAATATTGATAATGTATTTTATGTAATTTATATTATACCTATATATACGGATATATGTATGTATTTACAGTTATGCATAGTCATGAATTTATTTATATAGATTTTTCTGTGTCACATAAACCATTATACCTATTACACCTACTGTTGCACATCTCTGCATCACCCCATGGTTGACTGTTAGAGAATGCCACCCGGCATTAAGTCCGCCATCGTATGTTTGTTATACAGAAGTGTTAATAAATAAATAAATAAACAATTTGTCGAAATGGTTTAATACTACCAGTTAGTTGGTAGTGTACTACTAGTTCTACTCTCTATCACATGGAACTCCTTCGAGGAGAGTCAGCAGGAGTAGAGATGTGCCGTTGCCGGCAATATCTCCAAGGGATCTATTATCCCCAAGGGGATAAAATAGAGGATGAGACTTTGTATAAATCTTCTTAGCCATTCAATCTATTGAATCTAGAATCATTGAATCTGTTTGAATTGAATTCGGTTAAACGATAATTTGAGACCTAGGAAACGATGTATGTTAGTTTTTATCACAGACGTCTCACGGGAACGGGAACTATGCGTTAACGCCCCGGGACTCTATCTCTTCACAACTGAATTTATTTTTAGAGAGATTCGATACAACAACAGTCGATAGAATAATTTTTATTACTAAAACCTTATTTATGGGAACAGGCATTGTACTGGTAAAATCCCTGCGGGATTATTTATTTTTCGATACCACGATAAATTAATTTGACAATAAATCTCACTTGGGTACTGAATCGAATCTGACGAATTCTACCAGAAGTCATTATTCTAATTGTAATAAAACAAAACAGTCCGGCAATATTGGTATATTACCGGCAGCGGCAATATTGGGAATATTGCCGGCAGTGGTAATACTGGGAATATTGCCGGCAGTGGTAATATTGCCATCAGGCACAGCACTAAGCAGGAGTGCGGTGAGGATCGGGTCAAATAAAATACTAGAGTTCAATTAATTGTTTTTATTTTCAAGTCATTATTCTTACATATGCGATTCCATTACAATCACTATTTCTACATAATTAATACGAAGACTTAGATTTATTATTGTGATCATTTAAATAATTATTGTAAAATTCTTAAAACTTAAAATTGTACTCAACAGATAATCTCAATTTGATATGTTCGAAAACATCGGTACAAAGTTACAAACACAAGTGTGTTGTGCTTCATGATAAATACTAATTTGATTTGAGCAAAACTTTACAGAGAGTTACATAGTTGGCAACGTATAGCGCAGCGAGCAGGGCGCGACGCTCGGCGCGACACTCGGCCCGGTACAGAGCGCTGCCGCGCCCCGCCGCGCCCCCCGCGCTGCTTACATACTTACAACTAACTACTTACAAAACGTAAAAATACAAAACAATCACAATTACACAACGCAAGGTCATAAAGCTGCCATCTTGTATTACAAGTTAGGTCGTCCGTCGAACTAATCACTAAACTGGCCTACATAAGTACTGAGACTGACCTAATGTTACAATTATATCAAATAACAACATGTCGCGGGTGTATTATGCGTTCATGCAACCAACGTTAAGGAACTTTAGTAGTGGCGTGGAAGTAGTCCCACCTCGTCGCTCGTCGCTATACTTCCAGTCAACATACTTATATAAATACTTCGAATATACAAAATGTACTTGTTTCGAGGTTAGTAATAATTACTCGGCAACACTGATTTTATTTACAAAAGCACGAATGTGTTGGCGCCACATATGTCCCACTACGTGTATCACATCATGAGATTCTGATTACTTATAGCTCGCTCTACCTGTTCTCATGTACAACAAAACCACTAAAGTTCGTCTCTCTAGCGAGCATTGCTTATATAATAATAATAATTTACTTTTTAGAACAAGAAACTACTTCGACTATCGATTGTGTAGGTCGCACCTAAGATTGTAGGAATAAAATAAATATAATGATGTTGTAAATGTCATGCATGTGACGTCACGCGGCGGAGTATGTCGCGCGATACACTATACACTACACACGGTCCCTCCCGCAATGTTAACAACCAGTAACGTAATGTCGAATGTTGTACTCACTGGCACCCTACTACTACAGTGTAGTAACTCGACGCTTAGACAGAGTAAATACATTGGTTTAATAAAAATTGAAAAACCCCAAACAGCTCTGTCTCTATATATACGTATGGTACTAGTTGCGGTCGCTGCATTCAAGTACTACAATAAGTAAGTACAGGTAATCAAAACGCTGTAGGCACATACACCTGTATGTAGCTACTGCAGGTTACCTTCAGGCAATCGTCACGCTCAATGCAATACGAACGAGTAATGAGCGTGGACAAATACATTTAGAAATACAACCGAGTAATGTGCGGGCACAAATTGTTATATAGAGATAAGATGGTTGCGTTCGCGTCCGCGGGCACGAGCGCCATAGGATGCGGCACGTGTACAGGCGGCGCCCCCGTCCAGGCGGCGCCCCCGTCCAGGCGGCGCCCCCGTCCAGGCGGCGCCCCCGTCCAGGCGGCGCCCCCGTCCAGGCGGCGCCCCCGTCCAGGCGGCGCCCCCGTCCAGCCGCGGCACGCGCTCCGCCTACAGCAGCGCGGCCCGCTCCGGCTCGCGCGCGCCCTCCGCCGCCGCCAGCAGCGTGGCGTGCTCCTGCACACACACCACTACACTCGCACGCACACACACACACACACTGCCCGCCGCACTGTACGCGCGACACTACGCCCCCGTGGCGCACGCACGTCACATCGCCATCACTTAGCGATGTCACTGGGAAGAACCTTTTTCAGATTGTGTGAGAGATCCGTGATGAGATTTCGTTTCATTCTAGACTTACATTGATTTGTTTATATAATGAACAAACACGGAAACACAGCGCGGTCGGCCTTCCCCCGTGCATGTAACTTTAGGTGCGGTAGTGTCAGAACGTAAAATGATATTTCTTTAATGTAACCCGTGCTGCGTGTGCTGGAGGTCGCCAAGTACCTCCAGCACACAATGTGGCACTAGTGCCGGCGGGGCCAGTCGGACTAGTGCCGGCGGGGCCAGTCGGACTAGTGCCGGCGGGGCCAGTCGGACTAGTGCCGGCGGGGCCAGTCGGACTAGTGCCGGCGGGGCCAGTCGGACTAGTGCCGGCGGGGCCAGTCGGACTAGTGCCGGCGGGGCCAGTCGGACTAGTGCCGGCGGGGCCAGTCGGACTAGTGCCGGCGGGGCCAGTCGGACTAGTGCCGGCGGGGCCAGTCGGACTAGTGCCGGCGGGGCCAGTCGGACTAGTGCCGGCGGGGCCAGTCGGACTAGTGCCGGCGGGGCCAGTGCTGACTAGTGCGGGCGAGTTACCTCAGCGGGCGCGGCGTGCGGCGCGGCGTACATGGTGTCGTACACCGGGTTCGCGAAGTGGTTGCCGCCGTTCTGCATATAATACATACATACCGTATACTTCTATTCTTAACGCACTACTTATACCAGCTCGACACATTACATAAGTATAATAAAAATAACCGACGTGATTCAGTCGTTATTTTTATTAAATCGTGTAATGCTCACGTTGTGCGCGTGGTGCGGCTCGAGCTCGTCCTCGCCCGCCAGGTACATGGGGTTGTTGATCTCCACGTTGTCCGCCAGGCGCGCGTGCACGAAGGCCCCGCGCCGGCGCCGGCGCAGCGCGTACAGCGCGCCCAGCACCGCCGCCACCAGCACCAGCAGCGCCAGCGCGCCGCCGGCCCACGCGCCGCCCGCGCCCGGCGGCGGGGGCGGCGCGCCAGTGTCCACGGGCGCCGGCGTGAGTGCGTGGGGCGCCGTGCAGCTGGCGCCTTCGAGGCAGGCGCAGTAGGTGGGCCCGGGCGTGGCGGGCCCCAGGTCGGGCCCCCAGACACAGAGCGCGGGCGGCGGGCAGGCGCGCGCGGCGCAGGCGTGGTCGTGGCCGACGTAGAGCGTGCAGCGCGCGCCGCCCCAGGGCCCGGCGCAGACGCAGGCGCGGCGCCCGCCGGCGCGCACGCAGTGCCCGCCCTGCTCGCAGCCGCACTCTGCCTCCGCTGCAACCACGGAGCAATAAACAGTCGTTATATATCGTTATATATCGTTATATTCACACCTTACACGAGTTTTTTACTTTCGGACGTGGAACGATGTGAACGTTCGGAGGAAGGTCGTCCCTACCTGTTTCCTGACCTTTCGCAATAATGCCAATGAAATAATACTCGTATCACATAGAGACTGCAGTCTTTTTTTGAGATGCAAAACTTATGCAATCCTCTCGCGCTAGATGAGACGTTCCCGTGCCTCCCCGCTACAGACTCCTGCTTTGAGCCGGCACCCCAGTTACCCGCGAGTTAGTCTGTAGCCCCTAAGTGACTGCAGTCTTACGTAGCGTACATTACATGTATGATAAATATTTAATGTAAAGTGGACACTCGCTATCCGATCAATTGAGAGCTAGAAAGCTAGTTACGGTGGCCGGAGATCGCCTCGCGATCCCCGACGCCCGGAGTGTCTCTCGCGACGGCCGGGTCGTGAGAAGGTTCGTTCCCTCACGCGCTCCGCCTCCTCCTTAGCTAGCATGACTGCTTCGCAGAAGGAGGAGACGGCATCCCAGTCCCCCTCGCTCCGTACCATGGTCTGAATCTGAACCAGAGCCGAACGCGAGAGGTCGCCGTCGCCGATCACATTCCTGAGGACACGGCGGTGCTCAGTCCACGCAGGACACACTGCCACCGTATGCTCCACCGTGTCCTCCGAGCGATCCCCGCCCAATCCGAAACGTTCCTGTTTCGGATTGGGCGGAACTACGAAACTCCCGTGTCGGGTAAGCACCTACGTCAGGCGGTAGGTGAGGACGCCGTAGCGTCTCTCAAGCCACTCCTCAAAGAGGGGACTTACCGCTGCAATGACAGCGAGCCCAATGTGACTGCTATTCCTACTGCACTCGGCAGCGCTCGCACCATGGTAGGTACTCTTGAATCCAATTCCGATCGATCGACATTGGTATTGTGAAATTTCGTACTCTTGAGTTGTAACACAAGCGCCCATTGCATCTGTATTGCGTGGATATTTAATGAACTAAATGGTAATCACTTTAGCTTTATATTCCGTACTCTGAATGCTATTTCAACAGCTATGATAGGGGTTGTATAGTTTTGACATTGAATCATTATTGAGATTTTATTGGATTGAAATTGCATTGACATTGAGATTATTTTCAAGAGTAAGCACCCATGTCGAAGTATACGAGTGCACCGGTACTACTGCCGCGCGGTGTTCGTCTTGCTCACTCTATAAAAGCGTTCACATTTCACTAACTGAAATTACATTTTTCATTACATCTACAGACATATTATAAAGAGTATAAATTGTATGCGATACTTAAAAAAGGTACATAACAATAATGATACATTATGGAAAATTAAACTTGTAATAAATGTACGAACGTAATGAATAAACTGGTATTTTAAAAGTTTTGGCAATTTTATCCTCATATCCTATTTTGTGGCAAAATGTAGTGTTGCTCATAAATGTCACAATGTTACTGTAGAAACATGCAAATTATAGACAATATGTAGGGAAACCCGCTAGCTACATGCTCGTCCTGTACGTAGAGTACAGTGCGACCCGGCGACCCGGCGACCTTGACCTATGGCAAGCGGCCGCTACACGTAGTACTGACCTCGCGTGGCGCGCCTCCTGCGCCCAGCCATGGACTCGCTCGCTGCCTGCGACGGGACCGACGCGCGCGACCTCACTCGCGTCACTGTCGGACACTGCGCCGTCCTACACGACCAACTCACGATGTCTGTCTACTTAACGTCACAATGTTACGAAACTCGAGGCGCTGGCCATTTGCATATAGAGAGGCACAAACCGGCTATATATAATGACGATACTTAACCGCGGTTAAATTGATTAATGTATTGCGTTAGATCTGGTGGAGCGCGTCGATATCTTTCGCTTACACAGTTACACTTGCTCATACGTACGCGGTCAACAAACAAATCCCCGAAATAACTGCAGAAGCTGGTTGTAACGAGTGGTGGAGTGATTCTGCTCTCAATGCTTACTGTGTAATGGCTACATGCTCAGCAACACAGAGTGTGTGTGTGCGTGTGTGTGTGTGGGGAAGTACCGACACAAGATTACGTATCATAATTTACGCGATTTCGTAGAAATACGTTTTCCTGGTCGACCTTCACAGAGTGTCGGCGAGACTAAGGTCAGCACGCGGATGTGCGCGCAGCCAGCACGTACGAGTAGCGCTATGAAGTGGCTACATTATGTCAAATATATTTAATACCACTCCATTCCACGCAACAACACTCATAGATTGCATGCGGGATGTACCTATGTATATACCGCTGGCAACCGCCCTCCTATCTCCCACTCATAGCTAGCGGTGGCCTTGCTGAATGTTCTACAGAATTATTTTGTTTTATTTTTCTACATTCAAGAAACAAAGAGTCTCTTACATAATTAATATCCTATAATTCATACAAATTAACTGTCATTTGAAGAGGTACCTACAAACTGATCGATTGTGGTTTATTTTCAGTGTCCTATAACCACAACATGGGTTGAGCTAACTTTACATCTGCAATTAAGAAGTTGAACGAGCTACTTTGAACTTCTGCCAAAATACAAAATTGAATGATTTAATAATTGGAAAGAATATTTTAATAAAATGTCTTTAGAAAAGGGACTTTGGTACAAGACATTGCAATGTGAACCTCCTCGTATTCCTTGGTTTGCCAATATTAAGCTAAATGGAAAATTTGTAGCAATAGCGCATAGATTACGGCCGGGACACGTTCCACTCAACAAGTTTCGGCACTTAATGGGGAAAGTGACAGTACCAACTGTGATATAAAAAAAAATAAATAAGAAGTTGAAGCAGCTTTCGTTGGTAATAATAACTGAACAAAAAATAACTTTAGGGTTGCCAACCGTACTCTAAAATAGAGTATTGTCCTCCATATCATGTAGGCGTACTCTATAATCTATAACACTAATAGAGGACGCTAAAATACTGTTATTTCCACAATGTTTACTTAAGACTTGTAACTGCCAATAAAAAACTGTTGAAGTTGAAGGTAAATCCTCCGCTAACGCCGGTCACCGGTGACCCCCATGGCGTTTAACGTGTTAACTACTGCCGTAGTCTGTAATATTATGCAAAAACCCATGATCAGTATAAAAGTATACTATGTAATATTAATACAGGGTGCCCCGTTTACAGTGATCCAAAGATTTTTTTCAGTTTGAGAGCATTATAAGTGATCATTTACAAAATACTTCAGTTCAGCACAATTTGATTGTATTTTTTTTAAAACTATTCCGATGTTTCAATTTTTGACACAACACCACTCTGTTATGAACAGTACTGGATCGAATCGAATGGAATTTGGTATAGACCTCGTGCGATAACCTACACATCGAGCTATAGGCTAACCTAGTTTAATAATTAGACTGATTTTTTTAAAGAAAAATTGTTACGTGCAGCGGAAAGTACGAAAAAATACGTTTTTGAAAGTACAAAATAAATGATACTCTTTATTTACCTCCTTTAAAATCAGGTATAATCTATTTATTTTTAAAAAAGTTGGCTAATTGCAATTAAAAATCGGAAATCTGAGGTTCTGGATAATAATTTTCTGGCTTCATTCCCGCCAATTTTACATTTTATTCTCATTTACAAGTAGTTAAATAATACGAACCCTAAATCTACTTTTTCCACTGAAATGTCACCGACATACAGTCGACGGATACATTTACTGAGTTCAGATGCTCCTAATTAGATGGACTATGAAGGAAAGTATCCGCGGTTACCCAGACGAACTAAGCGAGTGGTCCACAACCAAACACTGGTTTATTTTCATTCATAAATAAGCAGTGCAGCGAAAACGCAAAGAAACAATCAAGTAAAACAGTTCCTCGTTCATTCGAAGTATTTAATGTGTGGTCGAGGGGCGCATACGCTTGTCGGTAGCGCATACAAGTAATCTCCTGCGCGCCGTTGTAAGTACACAAATCAATTGAGAAAGTACACAAAAATCGTAATCATATGCCATCCAAAAACATGTGTAATTTGTATAGGCTCAGGTAGAATGTCATTTAAACTTAAAAATATTTATTTTCGTGTAGGTTTTATACATTTTTGTTGAATTTCAACAAATTCCGAGACAATTAATTCTAATGTTATCTAATTTCTTAAAATGGGGAGATCCTGCAGGCTCGATCATTACGCCTAGCTGGGTACCGGTGTTACACTTGTGCGTTGCCAAGTTCATATCCGCGTGGATAGGCATGCAAACTTTTAATGAGCGCTAAACGCCATCTTGTGGCTATTCACTCGAACTTATCTTCGTATCTGCAGTTTTATATACATGAGTTATATTTCTACTCTTCTAATCTCTTATTGTCGCTGATTAGAAAAGAATAAGAATACACTATGTATACACAACGTCAACATTGACATATCTATTGTTGTGTGATAGAGTACAACGTGCGGTGGAGTAGACACAGTGGCCACTACTGGTCGCACGAGTGGTCGCCCCGCACTGCAATTACACAAAACATCACAACAATAGCTGATTTTTTTTAAAACTAGTCCAAGTCGACGGCGCCTGCTACAAATTCCATAATATTCCAATTAGTTAATATTGAATAATGTAAGACTTACCTCGCCCCATTACGGCTCGCTACAGCACCTGCAGCTGTGTCGTCACCACGACTCGATCATAGTTGTATTCAAACATTGCAGATAGCTTATTCTTATTCTTTCTAAGCCGGTAAACGAGCAGACAGATCATCTGATGGTAAGCTATCGGCAACGTCCGTGGACACCCGGAATACCAGAACACTTACAGGTGCGTTGCCAGAAGGATAGGCATTTGAGGATTGGGGTGTGGCGACCAGCGGGCCTCCGGTCACCTCATTCTCACTCTCACTCTCACTCTCTCGACGAAACACTACGCAGGGTTGTTTCACGTAGGTTTTCTGCTCTTCGGTGGTATCACTCCGGTCGAGCTGGCCCATTCCTGCCGAAGCATAGCTCTCCCACACTTGAAAATCTTGAATTTTCTTCTACATAATAATTTTCGTTTCAAGTAGGTACTCACACCATAGTTTATAATTAATTTAAGACTAAACACGACGACTTGTAATTGGTTGTTGTGTTTCACAATCCAGACTGTCCAGGGTACAGAAATCCTTCAAGGGGTTATGTGTAAAATGTTATAATAAAATACCTAGTAGCCTACTAGATCTCAATCAAAGCCAATTTAAAACATATATTAACCGCGAATTATGTAATCAAGCTTACTACACACTGACATTATCTTGAAGATAAGAATGCTTGGCAGCATGTTGATTCGGCTCCACTGGACAATACTCAAATGTAGTCAGTAGTTAGATTCCAATAGTAGGTAATTTAATACTTTCATTCTAATGTAGACTATCTAGTTTCTTTATGGCGTCGAGCATTTCTTTCTTTATTGAAACAAAGGGTTTCCCTTTTCTTGTACAGTAGCTCTATCTTACCTCAGATAGATTGTCAGTACGCATATGAGAGCACCATGTTAACGTTAACAAACAATGTCTTATGGTCTACCATAAGACATTGTTTGTTAACTAAAATCGCGGGTTACTCACGGGAATATACTGAGAAAAGCTCTACTAGTTTCGAACCACAGAGGGGTTCTTCCTCATGAGGAGCGCACGCAGTCACGAGAGTAACCCGCGATTTTAGTTAATTTAGTATGTCTCACAATAGTTATTAGAAAAACATTGTTTGTTGTTTATTTTAGTAAGTTCTGTAATTGTGTAATGCGTCAGGCGTGTCTTCACATTATTCTCACACATACATATGTAAATACAATGTTGGATAATGTTGCAGAGATTGTAAAGATTTTTTTTAAAGAGTAACAAAAATTCTCGCTCGTTCTTCTCCATTCGAATCTACATTTTGAAACGAGCACCTAGCTGCACTGCCGGACAGACTGACGGAATATTATTTATTTTATATTTGTTGACGTTTCAGAAGTACCAAATTATGATACTAAGTTTAATAATAAATAAATGATTTGACTTTGCTGCAAGTCTTCAGAGTTGTGTATGAATAATTCAAGATTCATTACACATAATTACATACTATTTTCTTTGTTTTATAAAACCGATCTAATACGGATGTAAACATAAGTCTTACAATGTAGTCAATTGATTTCTTACACTAGTAAAATATATTTTTGCTGTTTTTGAAATGTGAAGTTTGAAATTACCGAGCTATAAAGGACTTGCACAGCGTTAGTGTGATCGTTGCGAGTACTCACTAGTGTTGCGCCCCTGCTCCTCCCGCGCCGCGTCCGCGCGCTCCGCCGTGCACGCCGCGTCCACGCAGGCCGGCCGCTGGCAGCGCTCGCCGCTCCACGCCGCCGTGCACGCGCACGACGCCGCGCCCGTCGCCGACACGCGGCACGAGCCCTGCACACACGCACGCTACAGCCCGCCCCGGCCTCGCCCGCCACCGCCCGGCCCCGCCCGGCCCGGCACTCACCTGATTGAGGCAGAAGGAGCGGCAGATGTCGATGCGGCAGTGCGCGCCCCCCGCGGCCCGCACGCACACGTCGCCCGGCCCGCAGTCCGGGCCCGACACGCAGCGCTCGCAGCGCGCGCCCGTGTACTCCGGCGCGCACGCGCATGACGCGCGCCCGTCGCGCTCCACGCACGAGCCTTGGTTCTCACACGTCAGCGTCGCACACGCGGCGCCCTCCCCGGTCCCGCCGCCCGCGCCGCCCTCCCCGGCCCCGCCGCCAGCGCCGCCCTCCCCGGCCCCGCCGCCCGCCTGCAGCTCGCAGCGCGCGCCCTCGTACCCCGGCTGGCACACGCACTACAACACGAGCACGCTCATTGCACCGCACGACATCGACGTCTTCAAATATACCGTCTCACGACGGACTTATGCACAGACAACTTCATTTACGTAATGTCTTCATTTACATAAATAAATAAATGTCGTTGTCGTGTTAACTACTTCGTTAAAAGCTGAACCAGCAACCGTGTGTGTGTCCCGTATAGTGGCCGGTACCTTGAGTGGAGGCGGCGCGTCGGGGTGTACGGGCGCGGCGTCGTCGAGCTGGCAGCGGCCGCGGCGGTGGCAGTGCTGCGCGCAGCGGTAATGCTGGCAGCGCGCGCCCGCGTACAGCGCCGGGCAGCGGCAGCGCGCCCTGCCGCCCGTCACTACGCACTGCCCCGCGCCGCACGACAGCGTGCACGCGACGCCCGCGTCACCCACATCGCCCGCGTTGCCCACATCGCCCGCGTCGCCCACATCGCCTGCATCGCCCACATCGCCCGCATCGCCCGGGCCGATCTCAGCTCCGGCCGCTCCGCCGCGCGGGATCACACACTTGCGCTGCTCCTGCCGACGCCCGCGTATAATCCCAGTTAAAGTATCTCACTGGACGTGTGGGGTATATGAAGTGTTTGAAGATTCTTTTGTGAAGTTTTTCGAGTGTTTTTTAAATAACTTTGCCCCACACAAGGTTTTCTTGGGTCGTAAGTGCCTAACATACAAATTCACATACGCGATATGCCACTCAATGGCAGGAATGGAAGCCAGCACTCACGTGGTCAGCGGTGTCGTCGGCGGGCACCAGTCCGTCCGGGCACAGACAGGCCGTGCCGCGCGGCGCCGCGCTGCGCACGCACAGCGCCGTGGCGTGGCAGGCGCCGGCGCACGGGTCCGCGGCCGCCGCGCCCTGCAGCGCCGCGTGCAGCAGCACCAGCGCCGTGAGCGGCGCGGCGGGCGGCGCGCGCGCGGGCCGGGCGGCGGCGCGCCCCCGCTTGTGCAGGCGCAGCAGCGCGCGGGGCGCGGCGCACCACACCCAGTCCTCCCACACGCGCGCCCGCACGCACGCGCGCCCCCACACCACGCGCGCCGCCGCGCCCCCGCCCGCGCCCCCGTCCGCGCCCCCGTCCGCGCCCGCCTCCGTCGCCAACCGCATCTCTGCACAGAGCGTACCTCGTTGTGAGTGCCATTTATTTATTTCATTGATTAAAAGACAAAGGAAAGAAAATCGTGTGCTAATAACGGTGTAACAGTGGGACCGAGCGTCTCCCTTGTAAGTGTAATGGTCATTACAGTAATAGTAGCACAACACTAGCTCGTTGTCCATGCGCCACTCAATATTTCATGTGGCTGCCAAAGTCAAACGCAGCAATCTTCTATATATATATAATTCAAAGGTGATTGACTGACTGACATAGTGATCTATCAACGCACAGCCCAAACCACTGGACAGATCGGGTTGAAATTTGGCATGCAGATAGATGTTATGACGTAAGCATCCGCTGTGAAAGGATTTTGATAATTTCCACCCCCAAGGGGGTAAAATAGGGGATGAAAGTTTGTATGAGGCTTTGTCAGTTTTAAACCGATCGGGTTGAAATTTGGCATGCAGATAGATGTTATCACATAGGCATCCGCTAAGAAAGGTTTTTGATCATTTCCACCCCTCAGGGGGTAAAATAGGGGGTGAAAGTTTATATGAAGCTTTGTCAGTTTTACACTGATGCAGATGAAATTTGGCATGCAGGTAGGTGGTATGACGTAGGTATCCCCAAGTAAGGATTTTGATTATTTCCACCTCCAATGGGGTAATGTAAGGGATGAACGTTTGTATGAAGCTTTGTCAATTTTACACCGATCGGGTTGAAATTCGGCGTGCAGATGGATATTATGACGTAAACGTCCCTTTAGAAAGATTTTTGAACATTCTCACCCCAAAGTGGGAAAATAGGGGGTGAAAGTTTGTATGATACTTTGCCAGTTTTAAATTGATCGGGCTGAGACTTTGCATGCATAAAGTTACTATGACATAGGTATCTCCTTAGAAAGGATTTTGATAAATTTCACCCCTAAGGGGATAAAATAGGGAATGAGAGTTTGTATAAATCTTCTTAGCCATTGAATTCAGAATAATTGAATCTTTTTGAATTACATTCAGTAAAACGATGATTTGGAACCTGGGTAATGTTTGATAGTTTCTATCACAGATGTCCCACGGGAACGAGAACTATGCGTCAATGCCCCAGGACTCTCTAACTCTTAACCACTAAACTTATTTTAGAGAGATTCTGTACAACAATTGTCGATGGAATAGTTTTTATTACTCAAACCTTACGTGATCAGGCACTGTACTGGTGAGATCCCTGCGGGATTATTTCTGTCAGAAGCCATTAATCTACGCGGACGAAGTCGCGGGCAACAGCTAGTCAAATATATTAATATGTTTATAGTCTGTTAGAATAAATAGTCCTATTTAGTTAAAATAGTTGGTAGTTAGTTAAAACAAGAATATCAGTATATTACAGTCCACTACGAACATTGTTTTTATAATGGGTAATTATCCATGGTGATGAGTGCTAATAAAACAACGAGTTAAAACAAACTAAGTTTTTTTTAATCTACAAAATTGCCCCCATCTTAAAATGCAAAGTCCACGTCACACCCCAAACAAGTACACTAAAGCGTAGGTGTCAGTTCAATAAATAACAAAATTACAATTTACACGCTAGTGAAACATTTTTGTCAATTTTTCCCTCTTTATGAGACTCATGAGAAGGGATATTGAAAAATAAATTGGCAACACTGATAAAATATAGCGGCAATTAGTTAGGTCAAAAACATAAATTGAATAATGTAATTTCTAATTACTTAGCGGTGGATAAGTGATCTGTTTAATATTTTTTAACCGTCATTAATAATTTTAGCATGTGGCCATCTTTGCAGTGTACTTTTTTGTTTACTTCATTTTGTAGCGTGCATGCACGTAGTGACGCCTAGGTGACACGATTGGTACTACTTGACAACAAAGTGTATTGCAGTGAACAGTTCACTGCACATTTTTGTGACATTATATGTATATACGGGGAGGAATTTTGTAATTTATTTATTTATTTAATATTAATGCCACCTGAAAGGAAATTAAAGTAGGCCTAATACTTTAGATAGACAAAATTACTCAAAGAAAAAATTGTTTTATCACAAAAGACCCACAGACTCTATCTAATAAATCTCACTTAGGTACTGAATCAATTTTGATGAATTCTGTCAGAAGTCATTATTTTACGCGGACAAAGTCGCGAGCAACAGCTAGTAACGGCATAAAAAGAAAGATCAAAGAAACCGACTGGGTTTGGAACCGAGCATGTCCCTTGTACTCACAAGGGACACACTAGTAACGGAGTAGTAGTGGTAGGGCCGACGTACCTCCGTCGACGTAGTAGGTGGGCGCGCGGGGCGCCGGCTCCGGGCGCTGAGAGAAGCGCGCCAGCGTCACGCGCTGCGAGCCGTCCAGCAGCACGCTGTCCAGCGTGTCGTAGTACTCGTCCACGAAGTACAGGCGCCCGCCCGCCGCGTCCAGCGCCAGCGCGCCCGGCCGCCGCACGCGCCGCGCCCACCAGCCAGCGCAGCCCCGCGCCGTCCGCGCCCGCCGCGCGCACGCCCGCCCAGCGCCCGCGCTCCGTCCAGTACAGCGTGGCGCCGTGCAGCACACCACGTCGTCCGGCTCCGCGCCCGCGCGCCGGTACAGCGTGGCGCGCCGCCGCCCGTCCAGCGCCGCCACCTGCAGCGCGCCCTCCGCGCCCGCGCTGCTCCAGTACACGCGCCGCGCCGCCGCGTCCAGCGCCACGCCGCGCACCTCCGCGCCGGCGTCGCGCGCCAGCACGCGGCCGCCCAGCCCGCGCAGCAGGGCGGCGCGCGCCGGGCCGGCCGCCGCGTGCAGCAGCGCCGACGCGTCGGCGGCGTGCAGCGCGCCCCCGGCGTCGCCCCAGACCAACCACCAGGCGCCGTCCAGCAGCGCGGCGGCGACGCACGTGATGTCGGGCGGGGGCGGGCGGCCGGGGGCGCGCGCGGCGGCGGGGGCGCCGGGCGCGGCCTGCTTGTGCGGCTCCCACAGGTGCAGCGCGCCCCCGGCCGCCACCAGCACCACGGGCTTGTCACCTGCTCCGCGACACAAATCAGTTGGTGTCCGCGTAAAATAATGACTTCTGGTAGAAATTGGGTTTTCGAATTAGTCTTTGCCAAGGTATATTCTACGGCTGTATGGTCGTAACAAATGTCATCAAAATCGATTCAGTACTTAGATTATATTTACTGCGGAAAGAGTTTATTATCGTGGTTTCAAAAAATAAAAAATCCCACAGGGGTGGTCTATCTCATGGAGTGATTAAATTACAACCAAATAAATATAGCGATTTAAAAGTTAGAGAGTGCCGGGATTTCAACACATAGTACACAAAGCACCGCTAATTAGTTCGTGGTGCTACACATATGTATAGGAACATTCGTCTATCACACACATCTTGGTATTTAAATATCATTTCTGTGTCGGTATACGTAATAATTTAGTAAATAAAAACGAGGGTAAAGATAAAATTACTCATAACAAACTTTGAATAAATCGAAATCAAAAATAATGAACGATCGAGCGATACAATACCCATATAAATATAGTGCTTTCTCATTGTAATTTTATGTTACTGAATGATATACAATATTTCGATAATCTCATCTATAGCGCGCTTGGCGCAATGGTTATCGCCTCCAATTGTCAAGTAAAGTGCCGCCGGATCGATTCCAGCATTCACGTGTAGTTTTAGTATTAATTTATCAAATATTTGAAATTAGAAACAATTAAATCTTTTCTTATTCTCCTATCTTATTGTTCTAAATCTTATGTTATGATTTAATGAACTTTAAACTTAACATGTGGTATATAATTAATTATTAGATATAAATATTGAATATAAAACAACATATTTGTATAATAAATAAATTAATTGTAATAAAAAATAGTATTGTTTTATTTACCAACTCATTTGCTTCTTTTATAGCCTGATATTTATATTTTATGACAAAAACAAAAAAAAAATTAATAAGAAAAGTAACAAGGTAAAATAAAATAAACTTTTAGCTGGAATAGAACCCACATCATTGATCCTTGAAAGACGATAAAAGCGTGCTCATTAACCAATCGACCACGAGCACTACGATATTAACAGTGAAAATGTCGGGTCATATCAATGATTGTAAATAGTTTTAACCTTATCTATGCATTAAATCACGGAATATAGAATACAATGGAAGTAGCAAGTAGGCGTGGCACGCGTGCCACAACTGAGCCGTGTACTGCGTACTCGAGGCAAATTCGAGTTCAGTCTCGTTCGAATATGGCGTCGAGTTTCTAGTCTCGTGACAAATACATATTTCCTCAACTATGCCGTTTTGTTCCGTTTTGGCGTGTAAAATTGATAGCAGCCGATAAATCGTAAAAATAGAGGTGTTTCGTATCATCGGTAAGTACAATTTTCATTGTTTTTATGTAGAAATCTTATTTTATTTCAATTTACAAAAACGGTTATTAAAATAATATTATTTACTAAAACGGTTAGTCAAAATCAACCTTACGCCTTCAAGATAAAGTTTATTTTGGATTTATTCCATTCAATAGAACATTCTCGCCAGTTCTACGCTACTCAAATAGTGATGTAGTCAAATCACATATTGAATTTATCGATTGATATCGATGCAAGTGTAATGTAACATTTATTTAGATTATTTTTTTATTATTATTTTAGTGGTGACCCCGACGTGATTGGAAGCAACCTTCACTTCACGGAGCAGATCAGCACCGTCATCCTTATCGCCATCCCTCTCATTTATCACATTATCCATATAAAGTTTGTAAAAATTTATGTAATAGTTGTTACATATATTGCCTATGTGAAATAAAAAAATGTTTTTTTGAAAAAAGAAACTAATAAAAAATACGAACAAAATGATTTTTAATTTACATACAAATAAATACTTACCCTTTTTTGTTACGTTTAAAAAGTTATCAACGACATATTAATTTTATTATTTTACTATCGCAGTCACACTATCGCAGTCAATTTTTTTTTTCACATTATTTTTAAAACACATTTTCATATTATCGATATTTTATTTTTATCGAATTAGGCTACATCACTATCTGAGTAGAGACCCGCATTCGAGCCAGTGATAAGCCATTCAAATATCACCTTTATTCTTATGACGTTAAAGTTCAAACCAAGTACCACTTTTCGTCGCTAGATGGCATTGTTAAACGCCATCTAGCGACGAATGGCGGTACTTGGTAGTCCAAAATATACTTTTTTATTTTGATTTATAGTGCATTGATTTTAAAGTTGGATATCGTATGATATTTTTTTTGCATTTCGTTTACGCCCATTTTTTTTCTAACCAATCGTAACTTCCGATTTATAGTATGAGTAAATTATAAATGTATTAGTTTGGCGACACCGGTTCTGGCAGAAATATTGCTTCAAGCTACTTCCATTGTATTCTATATTCCGTGCATTAAATTATAAAAATACGTATACCGACACAAGAATGAAAATACCAATGTGAACGTGGTGGACGAATATTTTTATACACAGTAATATGAAATTACCCACACATGTACACTGTGTAAATGACAGTAGTGTCGATGTGTAGCGCCGCAAACTAATTAGCGTTGCTTTGTGTACACGTATAGTAGAAACTAATAACAGGCATTATAACATAAAGCCATGGATTACGCCTGGGCTTGTTAGATGTATCAGATGCAGGGACAAACTACAACATGAGCAAAACGTTCTCCTGATCATTTTAATCTAAAAGATACAAGAACTTTTGCAATAATTTGCTGAAAAAGCTTAAAATTGATGACGATAAAGGCGAGTCACATCAGGCGGGTATAAATAGTAAAAACCTTTGGCAACACATAAAAAATGTAACTTATACGTCCAAGCAACCAGAATCGTAATCGAATTTACTACTAACAGAATCTACTTCGTTTTTGTTTGCTAACAATGTAAATGACTAATTTTTAAATGTGGGTAGAAACCTCGCTCAACAAGTGCAGTTACATTCTAAAACCCGGACTTATACAACTTTACCATTCTCAAAGACCGAAAAATCATTTGTTTTTTTGGTTGAAATGACACGAATCATAACTGGAATGAAAGATAATCGTGCAGTTGGTTATGATGGGATCAGCAATTGAATCACTCTCGAAAAAATTACTGTTTTTCGAGAGTGTCTTTCTAAAGGCATTTTTCCAACATGTCTTAAAAACAGCCTTGTTAGTTAGTAGTCCCTATATTTAAATTATAGTTGTCCCTATATTTAAATCAGGTGACAAGAATCTAGTAAACAATTATAGACCTATCTCACTACTGCCATCAATATCCAAAATTCTTGAGAAGATCATTAACATCAGATTGGTAAATTACCTGGAAATGAATAAATTTTTGTCACCCCTACAATTTGGTTTTAGAGCATTGTCCGCAGCTGATGCAATACATACACTCAATTTTATATCAGAAGAACTGGGCCAATGCAATCATGTTCTAGGAATCTTTGTCGATCTCGCCAAAGCTTTTGATACTGTGTCTATTATGCTTCTAAAGAAGTTGGAATGTATGGGTATCAGAGGCACACAACTCTCTTTGCTGATTATCTAGATAACCGTTACCAGTGTGTTAGAATAGATGACGTCACAAGTTCATTCCAGAGAAATACGGGTTTTGGAGTTCCACAAGGGAGTATTCTTGGTCCTACCCTGTTTTTCCGTTTTTTAATATCGACATGCATCATGGGAAAATTAATATCTTTTCATCCAATAACGACACTGAACTGTACTCTATAGTTAATAGTTGGCTTTATTCTAATTTACTAACTTTAAATGCGGACTGAATGAATGAAAATGTTAAACTTAGGTACTGAATCGATTCTGATGACATTTGTTACAATAGTGGAATAGACCTTGGGAAGGACTAATTCAAACGCTCAATTTTTGCCAGAAGACGTTATTTTACGCGGACGAAGTCGCAGGTAACGGCTAGTAAAGTATTAGAGTGGGGAGTGCGACTCACCCACGGCCTCGCAGGTCAGCGCGCCGTCCGCCAGCTGGCGCTGCCGGTACCCCGCCGCGCACCTGCACACACACTCAGTCAGCCCGGCCCAGCAGGCACCGCCCCGCCCGGCAAGCACCGCCCCGCCCGGCAGGCACCGCCCGCCCCGCCCCGCCCCGCACTCACTTGCACGTGTGGTTGTCGTGCTTGGGCAGACACAGCTGGGCGCAGGAGTCCCAGCGACACGCGCGCGCGCTCTCTGCAACAACACACCACCATGTACTTGTACGCGATACTGCGGGCCGCGCGGACTGTTGCGATACTCAAGTGGTTGACTTTTGATCCGTTCCATTGTTTTATTAATAGAAAATAGTAAATTGTCGCTATCCTCGATAGCTTGGAAAAGGTCAACCGAGGTCACGCGGAGTGCAAAGCGACATGTCCTCTCTACAGAAAGCCTCACAGGCGACTGATTTTAACAAACCGTGCACATTAACAGTTTACAAAATTCAAAAAAGTACAATAATTTATAGAAAAATAAATAGCCATGTTTCCTGTGATTTCATATTGTTTGAACTTAAGAGAAGCAATCTCCATTACCGCGTTTCAAAAAATATGAGCCGCTTTAGACATAACAACAAGACGTAGCTTTAAAACGAATGTATATTGTGTGTCAAGTTCAGTTCAGCACAAGTTCACGTACCGCTGGCGCAGGACGAGTTGGCGGCCACGCAGCGCCCGTCCTCGCACAGCGCCTCGTCGCGCGCGCACGGGGACTCCTCGCCCAGCCCGCCCAGCCCGCCCAGCCCGCCCAACCCGCGCCGCCCAGCGCAGACCGCGTCGTCCTCGTCGCCCGCGCAGTCCGCCACACCGTCGCACACCAAGTTGGGCGGCAGGCACGTCGCGTCCGCGCAGCGGAACATGGGCGGCGGACACGCCAGCGCGCCGCACAGCTCCGCCGCCTCGTCGCGGCCGTCCGCGCAGTCGCGCCGCCCGTCGCAGCGCCACGCGTCCGCCGCGCAGCGCGCCGCACCGCCGCAGTCCAGGCGCGCGCCGCAGCGACCCGAGCCCGCGCCGCAAGCCGCCTCGTCCGAGCCGTCGGCGCAGTCGGGCGCGCCGTCGCACCACCAGTCCGAGCGCACGCACGTGGCGCCGCTGCGGCAGGCGCGCGCCCCGGGCCCGCAGTGCGGCGCGCAGTCCGCCTCGTCACTGGCGTCGGCGCAGTCCGGCGCGCCCGAGCAGCGCAGAGCAGCGCGCACGCATTCGCCCGAGCCGCAACGGAACTCAGATTCTGAACAAGGGCGCGGCTCACAGCCCAGCTCGTCGGCCCCGTCCCCGCAGTCGTCGTCCGCATCGCAGCGCCAGCGGCCCGGCACGCAGCGGCCGTCGGGGCAGCGGAAGTAGGTGGGGTCGCAGGGCGGGGGCGCGCGCGGCGCGCCGCAGGCCGCCTCGTCCTCGCGGCCGGGGCAGTCGGGCTCGGCGTCGCACAGCCACTCGCGCGGGATGCAGCGGCCCGAGCCGCAGCGGAAGTCGGCGGGGGCGCAGGTCCGCGCCGCGCACTGCTCGCCCTCGTCGGAGCCGTCGCCGCAGTCCGAGTCCGCGTCGCACACCCACACCAGCGGCACGCAGGCGCCGTTGCGACACGTGAACTGCGCGCGCCATACAGACATTACCACATAGCACAAGACGCTGCTAACATTATACTGCCGAGTACATTAATGCTGAACAAAAAGTTGCAGAAATAATTAATCAGCCTAAGTTCACGTTCAAGTAATCGAAATGAGTACGCGTTCGGTGCTCTGATTGGACGTCTAAAATAAACCAACCAATCAGTACGCCGAACGCGGTCTGGTTTCGATTACGTTAAACGTAAAACAAACTCGTACTAAGACCTCAAGTTCACGAAAAGCGTTTCCTGTTGGACACAGCAAGATTTATATCAGTAGGAGAGGGAAGGACGTTTTGTTTGACATTAATGACATATCAAAATTGTGCTTGTGATCGGTGTGATTGAAGCTTTAGAACGAGTTTGTAGTGAAGTATAGTACCAGCAGGGGGTAGTTTGGTACATGTACTGACGTGGTGCGGCGGACAGGTGCGCGGCGGGCAGGCGGCCTCGTCGTCCCCGTCGTGGCAGTCGGCGCGGCCGTCGCAGCGCGCCGCCGCCGCCACGCAGCGCGCCGCCACGCGCGCCGTGGCGTTGCCGCGGCACTTCCACTGCGACGCCAGGCACGTGAACTGCACACGGACATAGCTACAGTACCGCCCCACGCGCGGGGGACGCGGGGGCCGCGGGGGACGCGGGGCCGGGCGGCGCACCTTGTCGCAGTCGCGCTCGTCGGAGCCGTCGGCGCAGTGCGGCGTGCCGTCGCAGATGTGCGACGGGTGCACGCAGCGCCCGCTGTCGCACTGGAACTGGCCGGGCTCGCAGCGGAAGGGCGGGCACGCCGCGGGCTCGTCGCTGCCGTCGCCGCAGTCGTCCTGCGTGTCGCAGCGCCACCAGAACGGGATGCACTTGAGCGCGGCCGCGCACACGAAGTGCGCCGACGTGCAGTTGGGCGAGCACGAGCGCCCGTCCGCCGCCAGCGCCCAGTGCTCGGGGCAGGCGCAGCGCGCGCCCGCGCCCGCGCCCTCCGCAGCCGGCGTCAGCAGGCACAGCCCCGAGCAGTTCAGCGCCGCGCACCGCGCCGACAGCTCTGTATGGCGAACGTCAATATTCCTTTATTGTCCACCGCTGACAGACGGTGAAGGAAAATATTGTAAGGAAACCTGGATTATGATTTATAATTATAAGTTTGTAATCGCCAACCCGCATTGAGCAAGCGTGGTGATTAATGCTCAAACCTTTTCTATGTGACGCTTTGCTCAGCAGTGGACAATTTATAGGCAGTTGATTATGATGATGATGATACCTTCGAAGAGTATAACCACGGCACATAGCAAATTCGTTTTACTAAAGATTAGCCAGCTATTCTTTAGTAAAACGAATTAGTGAAACTCTTAATAATAAAATGTCAACATTATCAGTTTTTCTAGATATGAGCAAAGCATTTGACTTTGTCTCCCATAAACGTCTACTTTACAAGCTAGAGAGATATGGTATAAGAGGTAAATCTCACGATTGGTTCAAAAGCTATTTGTCTAACCGCAAACAAAGGACTGTTATCTCTAAACTTGTAAACAGTAGGTACTAGAATAACATATAGCTCCGAATTAAAAAATAACAACTCTGGCGTACCACAAGGGAGTGTACTGGGCCCGCAGCTGTTCATAATATATATAAATGACCTATCACAATGTCTTAAACATAATTGTATTCAATTTGCGGATGACACTACATTGACGATACAATGTTTAGAGAGAATGGATATGGAAACTGAAACTAATACTGAATTAACAAATGTAATGAAATGGTTAGAAGACAATAATCTCCAAGTAAATATTAATAAATCAAAATTAGTTAAATGTCAAACATGTAACTCAACAATAATACCGACAGCCATACAACACAAAAATACAATTTTACAACCAGTACAGTCGGCTTTATTTTTAGGTATTATAATTGACAACAAACTCGATTGGAAACAACATATAGAAAGAGTGTGCAACGAGTTAGATAAATTTGTGTATGCCCTGAGAAAACTTAGGTTAGTATCCAGTAAAGAAACAAGTCTAAACGCCTATCACGGTTATGTTTCATCGGTGTTGCGTTACGGTTTAGTGATATGGGGTAACTCAGTAGACGTGCAAAGAGCTTTTATAGTGCAAAAAAATGTATCAGAGCCTTAGGTGGCGCTGAATATTTGGATCATTGCAGACCATTATTCAAGGAACTAAAAGTACTTCCTCTGCCATGCCTTTACATTTATGAAATTTGTGTTTTTGTAAAAAAGTACCCACATTTATTTCCAATGAAGCGAAAGAGGTATGTAAGAATCGTAGTAATTGGCGTTCCTTAGTCTCTGCCTACCCCCTTGGGAGACAGGCGTGAAGTTATGTATGTATGTATGTATTTATTTCCATTAAACGAACAGGTCTCTGTCAGATTAAATAATAAAAATCAGTAAATTTAAATATCGAATGTTCACTTGGCTTCTCGAGATGTGCTTCTATTCGGTTAATGAATTTTTAAATCACAAGTTTTGACATTATTTAATATTTCGACATTATATCTAATGTTATGATATTGTATTTAGTATTTTGACATTGAATTTATTTATTTTTTTACATTGACTGACATTGTATTTAGTATTTTAGTTTAGTATTTTGACAATATACGTTTTGACATATTGACATTGTATTTAGCATTTAAACATTATAAGAAATATTTTAACACTTTGATGGAAATAACACTGATACTTCTATTTACTGTCATGTACCAAGCAAAATCATAGATGTGTGATTGAATCAATTTACTTGGCATTATTGTAATTACTAGTTTTTTTTTAAATTTATTCTATAAAGCATGATTAACATAATATTTTTACACCAGCAATGGTAGTGTATGTGAAACAATATTTAATGTAAAACATCAATGTACCATATACTTGGAAATAAATGACATTCTATTCTATTCTATTCTATTCTAAATTAATATCATCGTGTTGGAATTACACGTTTGGATGGGCGTCATAAATAATCAATTAATTGGACCCACCGATTTAAATTAGACGATTTACGACGAATTTTAAATGAATGGACTAGGGTCATTGCTTGAAATTGTAGATTTGGTTGTCCAGATATATATTCAGTTCAAGAGTGTTTCTTTACATTTTACTTATCATCAAGTTATAATTTTTTAAACTAAATTCAGTTTTACTTTATTGTTCTTTGATGTTTTTGTAGTTAGTTTGGGATTCTTGACTAAAACCAAAAATGTTGAATATCTCAGTAAGTGGCCACTTTCGGACCAGCGACCTCGGGGTTAATTTTGTAGAAAATTTGTTGTATTATCACCCCCCAAGAGGTATACGTGGAGTAACAAGTCACCCTGGGTAATAATGGATCGACATAAGCAACGTAGGCATTGCAGTAGGAAGCGTCGCGAGTGGCAGTCACCTGGCGCGGGCGGCTGGCGCGCGGGGTGGTACACGCGCAGGTCCATGGGCTTGTGCACCGTCTGCACCAGCGCCCGGCAGTCGTACGCGCCGCCCGAGCTGTTGGCCGCCGCCCCGCCCGCCCCGCCCGCCACCGCCCCGGCCGCCCACGGCCGGCGCCGGCACGACTCGATGGCGCGCGTCTCCCAGTCCGACCAGTACACGCGCCCGTCCCACACCGCCAGCGCGAACACGTGGTGCAGTCTCAGCCACGGCATGCGCTCTGGAACGGACGCAGTCGTCATTACGCGGCCCGGCCAGCGCTGCACCGGCGGGACCGGGCGTACCTCGCGAGAACAGCACGCGCACGTTGCGGCCGTCCAGGTCGGCGACGGCGATGTAGTCCTGGCGCGCGTCCGCGAAGTACAGCTCCTGCGAGGCGGGGCTCAGCGTGAGCGCGTTGGGCCAGTACAGCCCCGCGCTCAGCAGCACCCGCCGGCCCGAGCCGTCCATGCCGGCGCGGCCGATGTGCGGTGCCGCGCCCCAGTCCGACCAGTACAGCCAGCCGCGCGCCGGCAGCAGCGCCAGCGCGCGCGGCTCGCTCAGCTGGCCGCGCAGTACCACGCGCCGGTGGCGGCCGTCGGCGCGGGACACCTCGATGGTGTCGGTGCCCTTGTCGCACCAGTACAGGTTGCCGGCCACCCAGTCCACAGCCAGCCCGTCGGGGTTCTGCAGCGTGGCGCCGTGCAGTAGCTGGTGCGGCGCGCTGGCGCCCCCGCAGGCGCGGCGGATGGCGGAGCCCAGCCGCGTCACGTCGCTCCAGTACAGGCAGCGGTCCGCCCACTGCATGTCCAGCGCCACCGCGTTGCTGAGCTCGTGCACCAGCAGCGAGCTGGCGCCCGGGCCGCCGCCGGCGCCCAGCGTGGCGCGCCGGATGTAGTACCGGTTCGTGAAGATCAGGCTGCCGCGCACCGCTGCACAGCCAGCACGGCCCGTTACGCGCGGCCCGACCACGGCCCGGCCGCGCCACGAGCCTCGGTACTCACGCGAGTCGGGCGTGCAGGAGACTCCGTCCTCCATGAGCTTGTACCCGGCGCCGCACGAGCACTCGAAGCTGCCGACGGTGTTCCTGCAGACGTGGTCGCAGGGCTCGTCCTCGGCGCACTCGTCGACGTCCGCGCAGGCGCGCGCGTCGGCCGCCAGCCGCCAGCCGGCGCGGCACCAGCAGGCGCGGCCCACCACCAGCTCCGTGCAGTTGTGGGCGCACTCGCCGTTCACGAACGAGCACTCGTCCACGTCTGCAACACGCCACGCGTCACGGCCCGCCCACGGCGCGTGACCCCACGGCCGCGGCGCGTATACTCACTGCAGTGGCTCTCGTCCGTGTAGTCGCCGCAGTCGTCGGCGCCGTCGCACAGCGCGGCGCGTGCCACGCATGCGCCGTTGCCGCACTGCCACTCGCCGCGCGCGCATGCGCCGCGCGCTGTTGCCATGTCGCCCGCCCCCAGCGACCGCTCGTACGACGCTGCGACCATTTCATAATTTGTCACAATTAATACTAGTGACATTTGTGAAACATACCTCCATTAAATATGTTACAGAAAAAAACGTCTGGTTCGACGTGCCATGTATAATCAGAACCATAACAATAATAATTTGTATATATTCCATTTACAATTTGGTGATTTAAATGTATACTTAATAATACAATTTATAGTTTTCACAACATTTATAGTTTTCCTTTCTAAATTAAACAACGCAATTCTACATAGAACAAAAATCGACGTCTTTTATGAATTGTCGGTTCGGTCACTTGATGATTCAGTTGAATTCTTTATTAGTACATATAAACATTAGAAAAAAAGTTAACACGCAATAATAACTATCCAGTATGGTTCAGTTGCATACTGCGACACCTGTATAAGGAAGCTGGTATTATTGGACTGTCGAACATTAGCGCGTGTAAGGAGCACGCACCGCACAGGTCGGGGTCCTCGTCGGAGCCGGCGCCGGCGCCGCCGCCGTCCTGGCAGTGGTCGCGCCCGTCGCACTGCAGCTCGCGCGCCACGCAGCGCCCCGCGCACTCCAGCGCGCCCGCGCCGCACAGCGCGCCGCCCGCGTCGCCCGCCCCGGGGCCCGCGCAGCCCGCCGGCTCGTCCGACGCGTCGCCGCAGTCCGCGTCCCCGTCGCAGTACAGGCTCTGCACACAGCGACCGGTCAGCGCCAGCGGCGGAACATATTACAAACTCAAACATCATATTTGCTTTTAAAGAAAATCGTCAAATGACTTTTCCCGTCTTGGGTGCAGCAGGAGAGAAGCGAAAGTAAGTGAGGCTGTCATGCGAAGATACAGGAGCAGGTCGTTGCAGGTACCGGGTGCAGGCACAGGCCGGAGTCCGCACAGCGCAGCGCGCCGGGCGGGCAGGCGCAGGCGCGCTCGTCCTCGCCGCGCGCGCAGTCCGCCACGCCGTCGCAGCGCGCGCCGGCCGCCACGCAGCGCCCGTCGCCGCACGAGAACTGCGCCGCCGTGCACGCGCCCGACGCGTTCGCGTGGCCTGCAGCAAGCACACGTGTCACGGCCGGCCGGCGCGCGGGCGGACGCCAGGCCCAGTACGTACGGCAGTGCGTGGCCTCGTCGGATCCGTCGGGGCAGTCGGCGCGTCCGTCGCAGCGCCACGCTAGCGGCACGCACTCCCCGCCTCCGCATCGGAATTGCGCGCCCTCGCACCCCTCCTCCTCCTCCTTCCCGCCCGCATCACTGCCCGCCTCTGTCGTGCTCGTTTGGATTGCGTTCGAATCTGACCCAGTCAAAATAACGCTATTTAGATTATACAATCATAATTATAGATGTACATACCTTTGATTATATAATGTCTAGATGGAGTGTGTCACTTTCTTGTCAAGTAGTGAACTATAGACCAATATCTAAACGAAAAAGTCGTATATACCCAGGTTTATTCTGCAATTAAACAATCCCTCAACTGCAGCCAACATGGATTCGTGAAGGGTCGTTCTACAAATTCTAACCTAATTGTATTTAACGACTATCTATCCCAGTCCATGGATGCAGGCTTCCAGGTCGACGTGGTCTATACTGACTACAGTAAATGTTTTGACAGAATAGACCACATTATGCTGCTTCGTAAGCTTAAAATTACTATTACAAATGACAGTTAACTGAAAAATGTCAATGTGCTCTCTTGTGATTGTATAAAAACAAAAATCTAAAATAATCTAAATACATCAAGTGACTATTACACTTTGAATTATTAGGAATGATCCTGTTAATTCAGCAAGCATGATGATCCTATAGGACTATAGAGTTTTAAAGAGTATGCCTCACAATCTTTTTCATTTCCTAGGTGCCTACGAGAAAATGCAAATTCATAATATAAACGACTGTCATTGGATAGAAGGCCTACATTTAGCAGTGGAAGTCTTGTGGCGGATATGATAAAACTAATGTCTCACTTCACCTTGAATCTTGCGGGAAGATAGTCTCAAAGGTCTTAAGTTAATTCGATTTAAACTTAAGCTTAGCTCTTTGAGAAAGTATTTCTTCTGAAAACTGGTTGCTTAGCACGCTTTAATTTCTAATAAGTAAGTCAAATTAGTAGAATCATCAACATTTTCATCATTAAACTGTTAAACACCGCGAGGACACCGGTGACCGCAACCTATTGTTCTTTAATAGGGTAGACGACTAATTTTTATTTTAATGTCCGTCTGGTAGATTATTTCAAAACATTAGACACGTATTTTTTATTTTCTCACAGAAACGAATAGTTTCGAAGATATATTGATTTGAAATGTCGCGTGACGTCACTTCTCAGTACATTTTATACTAAGAAATGACGTTTTAGCCCCCACTCCTAAACTTTGATTCGTTTTATCTAAGTATTGTTTTATTATACGACAAAATAAAAAAATACGTGTCTAATATTTTTTCATTACCTAACTTACGGACTAATTATATTTTTAATTTTCATACCCTGTCATCATCCCCATTGTGTCTATATGACGGTACTCAAAGGGTTAAGTCTATAAGTGGCCACTGCTGACCGAAGCTCTTCTCACATGGAGAAGGTTTGAGCATTAATCACCATACTAGCTCAATGTGGGTTGGTAATTCAAACTTATAATAAGAAATTATAAGCCCACGGCGTCTTTGTACTTTCTTAGATTATTTTATTTATTTATAATTCATGGAGGACTTACAGCTTTTAAAAATTGATAAAAATAACAATAGGCGTAGGTAACAATGAGCCAATAACAAGTCCTCACGTTTAGGATTTGGAATAAATTAATTAATATGGTGTGAGTACTATACAATATTAAAAATACATACATTCTGCAAAAATGAAAAAAATAATAATACTGAAACAGACCGTACAGAGAATATAAATAACAATATAATAAACAGATCAAGAGAAACGATAAAAAAAACTAAATATCTAGTGCCGCTTAAAAAATTTGAGGCTTAAGCACCTCTTTGCCGAGTTCACACTAGTTGTAAACGGATCGAAGTCACCCTACAAACATTGTTAAAGTGTCTGCTTGCACGCACAATGTAACTGTTCTGCCTGTAGTTAGATGAGGAACGGTTAGTAGTAGTTAATATACGAATAACTCGGAAAAAAGACACATTGGTACTTTGCCGCTGGTAGGTTTCAGGTACATGCAAGCAAATTGCAACACACTAAGCACAAAATAATGTAAATAAGTGTTTTTCGCAATTTTCACATCAGTGATGCCAATAACACCAATTTGGGCTACGGAGGAACGGCTGCCAAACTCAACGTATCACCAGATGAATAAAATAACTTAAAATTCAACAAACACATCATAACACCATTTGAAACAAACAGCAAAGCACCAGTATTGACAAATTAATTGTCATCAAAACAAATGCCAGTTCAACATTGCCATATTCAAGTTTGTTAAAATGTTAATTATTGTTAATCATCCATGTAGACGCATTATACTGGATGTAGATTTTTATATTTACTTATAAAAATGTTTGAAATGGAAAGGAAAATATTTCATTGATAATATAATAATAATAATAATAATCTTTTATTGATGATAAAATGAGCAAAATACAAAATATTATCTTAATAAGCGATGTAGACCTTATACAGTTAGATGCCTGTACTAGGAAAGCCCTGTATCACAGGCGAAAGTAGCTTTAATATTGTATACTAATTTAGGACATCTTATTTCTATAAACCAATACATATCATGACTTAGCAAATTAAGCTATGATTATTTTATATATATATTATATAAATACATTCATTATATTATAATAATACCTACATAATTATGACAAATTATTTAGATCTAATACATATTTTTCTCTACGAGAACACGACGGCGAGTAGACGTGCCTTAATTGCAATATTTATTTTTTATTCATGTAAACAATTAGTCAATTAAGTATTGACCTAGATTATACAACATTTAATAAATTTTGTTTAGTTTGTAATACACTATGTTACATAATTAAACGTTAACATGGCTAACATAGAAAATAGCCCTTTTAATCGGAGTTCGAAAACGTGTCGCAGCCCGCCCAGCACTCCGCAACCCGCAGAACATGCTGCCGAAGAGACCTTGGAAGCACTCTCGACCAGTGACATTAAGGGTTGGATGGTGACAATAGAAAAGGCTCTCAATGATGTGTGCCAGATTGCTGCAGAGGGTAAGTTGAACTCTGAGCAGAAGCTTAATATTAACACTCTGGCACGAAGGGTCGGTAATGGAGTCTCCCAAATGGCGATCCACTATCAGACCTTAAAACAAAAGGCTTGCCAGATAAAAACATCTCTGGAAGCCTTAAGAGAAAAGGAGGACCTTGCTGCTTGCCTGAACGACTTTAAACAGTCAATTAAGGAAACAATTCAAGAAAACTGCAGTAAACCTGTGGCTCAAAATATGTCCTTTGCTGATATTTTAAAGACCAATAAATCAAGTGTCCTGCGGCCCTCTAATTTGAAGTCAATCGCAATTTATCCGAACGATGCACAAAAATCCAGTGACGACACCAAAACGCTCGTGCAAAAGATTATTAATCCAGAGCAAATGAAATTGCACGTTAGAGGGATGAGAAAAACGAGGAACGGAGGTGTAATAATTAGCACCGAATCAAACGAGGACATTGAAAAACTCCGTCGATCGAGCCAGCTGACCAGTTCAGGCCTGAAAGTCGAAGAACCTCACAAAAGAAGGCCGCGAATAATAGTAGTCGGCGTGCCCGCAGCTCTTCGAGACCAAGAGGTGTTCGATGCAATTTACGAGCAGAACCTGGCGGATAAGATGCCTAATATGACGCGAGAATCATTCCTGTCTTGCATCAAGTTAAGCCACAAGTCAGGGAAAAAAGACGCGCCCACATGCAACTTTATAATAGAAGTCACAGCCAATATAAGGAAAGCTCTCATAAATCAGGAGAGAATCTACATCAACTGGACTTCCTGCCCTGTACGTGACT